CTGCCCTGAACGTGTTCTTATTTGATGATGTCTGTTCTTGCCTGCAGGTGACAATCTCTTGGTAGATTGAGATATAGCTAAAGGAGCTGAGTAACGTTGGCTTAGGTGGTATTCAGTGAAGGGTTAGGGAGCCCTTGGGGTGCAACCCTCCTGCCCCTGACCCAGGTGCCATACGCTATGGATTCACCTACAACCCAAGCCTCTGGGCAGGCAGGCCCTGGGGACACTGAGTTCAGGCCAGTTGATGGAGTCCTTGGGAGGGTAGGAAGGCATTGAGTTTCAAAGAGCTCAACCTCTGACCTTGTTGCAGCCTCAGACATGAAGGTGGTCCCGGAAATGCTCAGTTGTGCAGGATGAAAAATGCTCCACCATTGACTGTCTTCATCCCCGGCAGAGGCCAACCTGTGAGGTGATGGTAAAGCCTTGGGCCTCTTGGGCAAGCTGGCAGGTCTTGCCAAGCTGGAGACGATTGGAATCTTAATGATAGTAAAAATACCATTGTCCCTGGGTTCTTTAAATGTGGCAAAGCTCTCCACCTTCAGTCAAATGGCCTGCACTTGGAAAGAAGAGAAAGCTGTCCTTCGGGAGATTCATCTGGTGGGTGGTGTGGAAGCTCCTTGCCTGCCTGGCCGGGGTCTGCCTTGTGTGTAGGTGGGCATTGGGTCAGCCTGGAGGTGCTGAAGCTGTTGGAAGAGCTCGTTCATTCCACTTCTCTTACTTCTGAGCTGGAGCAGACGAGCAACTGGCCCTGTGTTCTGCCCTTGACTGTATTTTCTGGACATTCGGGAACATGGTGACAAGAAGCTGTATGTAGCTCCCGGGTGCCCTGGGCTCCCTTGCTGGGGGTTCACACCGGGCTTGGAAACGATTGGCCCCAGTGTGGGCAGCGCGAGGGCTCCAGGTGGCCGTGGCAGGGGTGCGAGCCAGTGCAGCGTCACGCTGTGTGTCTTCTCCCTACCCTGGTCTGTACCCTTTGAAAGATGTGCAGTGGAAGAAGAGTTATATCCTCCTTAGTTTTCCTCTTTTTTCATTTTGCCACAAGACAGGATTGTATCACACATCTCCAAAACGAGTAAAATGGCATTTCAGCTTCTTGTCTTTATAGACTCTCTGAACTTTAGGAAAGATCATTCTGGTCCCTTTTCATTAATAATGAAAACCAGGGGGCAATAAAATGTTCTTAACGCGAGCACGGCAGAAACAAGGAGCAGCGCGGGGGTGAAGGTGCGGCCGGCAGGGAGCCACAGGTGTCTCCTGTGCTCCAGGAGGTTGCACTCTGCGGAAGGGGGAGCAGCTGTAGGAGGGGTCCTCATTCTCAGACCCCTGACCCGCCAGCGTCTGCTCAGCCTAGGCTCTAGTACCCGGAATGAGAAGCATCCCCTGAATGTTTGCAGGAAAGAAGAAGGATGCTGCGAACTTGGGGTTCTGGCCCAGTGCTCAGCCCAGTTGCAGCTGTGTTCTTGTAAGATGTTTAGTGGGCATTTAAGAAATCACTGGGGATACAACGTTCTGGGGATAGACATGTGTCCACTTGGAATACGGAATACATTGGGGTTTGGGCAGCACTGAGGGGCTGTTCTGGGGGTGGATTGAAGCCCCACGGAACAGTGACTCTTGAAAAGTGGCATGTTACTCTGTCTTCACTGTCTCCTCCTAAAAACGAGCTTGCACTGGATTTTGGAACCAAGACACCCAGAACAGAGCAGGTGGGATGAGACAGGTGCCTGCATGGAACTCAGAGCTTCTCTCAAGGTCATGGTGAAAGGTCTGCCATGATGATCTGAAGAGTTTTCCATTTCACGAGCAGTTATGGCTTATCTGAGTCGCTCCACATCAGAGGAGGGTGTTTTGTGCAGGTCAGAGCAGGAGGGCGCCCTTCTGGAGCCATTGTGTATGTAGACGTGATCCTGAGTGTCACTGCTCAACCCTGGAGGGGAGGGGAGAGCCCTGGCTCACCATGACCCAAACCCCTGAGTCCATAAAAGAGTAGATGGATAAGTTTATGTAAACAGGAAAACAGTGCATGTCACAAAGGCAGACCAGAAGCAGAGTCAAAAGAAAAATATACTAGGAAAAATTTTGACAACTTCTGTCATAGACAAAGGGCTCATTTCCTTGTTGTATAAGAAAGTTCCATGAATTGATGAAGGAAATTAATAAAGAAATGGAGTAGAAAAGTACGGAGCATACAGTTACCAAAATGGAGATGCAGATGAAAAGATGCTCACTCCTCATTTGTAGTAAGATAAATGCAAATTAAAGCTAGAGCGAAGTAGTGGGTTTGTTTTTTTTTTTTTTTTTGGCTCTAGTATTAGCAGAAATCTATGTGTGTGATTAACCCATTACATTGGGGTGGCTGTGAATGAACTGGTTCAAACCCCAGGGAGCACAGTTTGGCAAGCTGTCTCACAACTGCTGGTACATGTACCTCTGACCCAGCCTGCCAGGAGTTCACATTTACAGATGGCCTTTTACATGGACATGAGAGGCTTTGTGTACATGCTTACCGATGGCAGCTTTGTGTGAAATAGGAAGAGACTAGAAATCATCTAAATGTCCATCTGCAGGGAGTTTGTTTAATGGAATATTATGCAGCTTTAGCCAAAAAGAAGAATGAGAGATGGGGAAAGGGGAAGGAAAATAACGCCTGTACGTGTTGCCTCATGTTTGCATAAGAATTCTTGACTGGATAAAGATGACACTATGAGCACAGAGGTTTGTGGTGGTGGAGGAAGCCTCTTTGCAGTAGACTGACGTGTGCTGCGTGATGTTTAGACCATGTGCGTGTGTATGTATGTGAGTGCTTAGTCGTATCCGATTCTTTGTGACCCCATGGACTATAGCTCACCAGGCTCCTCTGTCCATGGGATTCTCCAGCAAGAATACTGGAATGAGTTGCCATTTCCTCCAAAAGGGGTTCTTCCCGAGCCAGGGATCGAACCTGAGTCTCTTGCTTCTCTGTCATTGGCAGGCGGTTTCTTTACCACTGAGCCACCTGGGAAGCCCAGACCATGTGCATGTGTTACCTATTCAGAAACTGTAAACCAGAGAAGGGAGTTGATTGCAGTCTGTGCAGGAGACTTTGGGGTTGGGCCACATTGAGAAACTCAAGTGGAATCCACAGGCGGGTGGGGGGTGGGGATAGGGCAAGAAGAGACTCTTCCAGCCTCCTCCATCACTGTCATCTCTGTCTCCATCTCCTGAGAGCCCCTCTCAGCAGCTCAGAGAGCGGGGAGCGTCTCCCTCATTCCCATGGAGGTCTTTGCCTCTTGGATCCCCAGTCAGACTGGGTGCCAGCAGTCCCTCCTCCCCACGTGCCCACATCCAGCAGGGACTTTCAGAACCACTGCCTCCTGCTCTCCTTCAGTTGTGAAGCACCAGGACGTGGCCAGCACCTGCAGGCCCAGGGGAGGGAGGGGATGGCTGCAGCCACAGGTGTCCGTCTGTGGGGAGACAAGGCCTTCAGCCGGGCCCGGCCACATGTGAGTTCCCGCAAATGTGGTGGCTCGTCCTCCCCCGCCTCTCCCAGGCTCCCCTCCCAGTCCCAGGTCCTTGTCATGTGCACACGCCTTGGGTACACACCTTGAGTCACGTTCCCTGGTGCCGAGGTTGAGTCCACAGACTGAGGGTTTCCTGCACCACTGATGGTTCTGGAGAAAGTGGCCCTTGCTCCCCCCATACCTCTGTGACTGGTCCCTTGAGAGACGGCCGCTGGGCAGCCTGGATGTGGCCGCTCCATTGGACATTCCAGATGGAGCTCGTGCTTTCCTGTGCACCTCCCAGAGTCGCCAGGTGTCAGATCAGATTATGGGCCTGAAAACACATCGTGAGCAGTTCATGGGGAGGTTGTGGAGTAGAAAACTCTCCTCCCCACTTTGGAGCTAGGATTTCACTCAGGGGTTGGAGGGGCTTTGTGCTGAAGGGCCCATTCCTGTGTAGACCAGCTGCCCATGTCCAGATCCCCAAGACCTTCCATCCTGGGCCTGTCCCGCTTGCCTTTGGTGGCCCTGGTGGTAGTCTCTTCCTGCTTTCTCGCCTCCACAGCCCTCACCCCCTGTAGCTGTCCACGGTACTCTCCATGTCGTTCTTCAAGCACAGAGCCAACCACGTTACTCCCTGATTCAGAGCCGTCAGTGACCCCGCTGCTTGTGAAGTGACGGCCAGGTTCCCTGCGTGCATTCTCTTCCAGGCCTGGCCTTTCCCACCTTTCCCCTCACCACGACCCCCATCCCCTCTCTGGTCTCTCTGTCTCTTGGCCGGCAATGCCCCCTCCTTGGGAAGGCCCAGCGGCTCCCCCATCTGCTTAAGCACAGGTCAACCCCAGCCCTTGAATTTCCTAGTCCCCTGCCTGGAGCACTGTGCCCTGAGACCCCATAGCTCTCGGCATTGTCCTCCACCGAGGCCCCGCCATCCCCCTCTCACCGTGTCCTGTCTGAGTGCTCGGTCCCTCTCTGGCATCACCTCACTGGGTCGTGTGTGGGCTGCCCCTCTCCCTAGGCGCACTTGAATGAGAGCAGAACAGAGCAAGACAGCAGTGTGGCCACAACCGCCCCCTGTGCCCTCAGCACCACCGTGTACACCGTTGGAGCTTCATAAAGCCAAACAGGCAGTGACACAGCCTCTGGCCCCAACTCTCAGGTGGCTCCCAGCTCATATAGGAAGTGTGTGGACGTGTGTGCCTGCACAAGCCAGGTGCTGCGGCACCCTCACTGGATCCTTTATTCCTCGAGCGTGGAGCCTCTGCCCAGGTCTTTAGATTGCCTCGCTGTTCTCCCCCTACCCCCGCCTCAGTCCCTTGAGACAGCACCCCACGGCAGGTACAGCACAGTCTGGAGGCCCAGGAGGAGGAGGGAGACAGACGAGCCCCATTCTGACGCTCACCCCCCATCTGAGCATGAGAAACACCCCGACTGAGACAAGGAGCCTGAGTCCACACACTTCCTGCCCCCGGGGGATGCCAGGGCCTTTCCTCCTGACCCCAGCTTTTCTCCCGACCCCAGGCCCTGCGGGCTCCCGGTGGAGAGACTACAGCGCCTTGGCCATCATCATGGCAGGGATTGCGTTTGGCTTTCACCAGCTCTACAAGGTAAGCCGCCCTCCCCGCACCCCCTTGGCACTGCCCTGAGCGTGGGGACAGCAGTGGGCCTGCATGTGGAGGCTGAGTGCCCAGATGAACGTGCTCTTTGGAGGGGCGTCCGGGTCAAATCCTGGTCCTGCCCCCACCCAGGTGGGTGTGCTCAGGGCCTTCAGACCCGCCTCACCTACAGAATCTCTCCTCCAAGTCCCTGCCTGCTGCACAGGGTGACGGGGCCCATGACGCAGAGCCATGTCAAGTACTGAGGATGTTGCCCAGCATGCTCTGAGCAGGCTGGACCCTCTTAAGAGACAGAACAATGTGCACTTAAGACCACAGAGGCTGGAGCCTGGCTGCCAATGTCACATCCTGGCCCTGCCACTCGGCAGCTGTGTGACTGCAGGCTCAGCTGGCTCACCTGTAAAACGGGACAGTAGGATCTACCTCGAGAGGCTGTGGTGATGCTCACAGCAGTGGGGCTCCTGTGGAAAGGACTGTGTTCCCAGCATGTTGCAGGCGCTCTGTAACCTCTTGTTTCACCTGAGTATTTAACACCAGCTTTGAGAAACTCAGTGTGATCATGTTTACTACTTTTTCCTCCTGTATATTTTGTTGGCTTCCATGTAAATCTAGGGTTTTTCACAGTCTTCGTAGTCAGCCCTCAGGGCCCCCAAGTTCACTGCTTCCAGCAGAGCCGCAGGCGTGAAGTATCATTTACTTCCTTGACACTGGATCCTGATCAGACACTCGTGACCACGTACTGACTTTGATTTGAAGCATGCAAGTGTTTTTTAGAAGATGCAGAGCCAGGGTAGGTAAAATAGAGAGAGAAGGTAAACTGGTGGCTGAAGGACTTAACCTCTGCCAGTGCTGCAGAGAGGAGTTCCTTTCTTTCTGAGCCCACTTGCAACTTCATCCCTCGTTTGGAAATTTAAAAAGAAAAGAATCTGAACTATTGGCTATACTCCCAATATAAAATAAAAAGTCTGAAGAAAAAAAAAAGACTCTGAATGAATATCCAGACTCGTGCCATAACTTTGTTTGGCTGTTCCGCGCATCTTGTGAGGTCTTAGTTTCCCAACCAGGGATCAAACCTGTGCCCCCTGTATGGAAGCTTGGAGTCCTAACCAGTGGACGCCAAGGGGATTCCCTTACGTTGTAACTTTTGGCACATGGAACATGTTTTCACATTGCTTCCTGGGACTCTTAATTTTTGACTGAAGTGAAGTTGATCTTTTCAGTGTAACATTTATTCTTGAAGTTGGAAGTTTCCACCTTAGAAATTGGGAAGCAGGATGTGGTGGGTCCCAGGACTGCTCCCTCTGACACCGTGCGTCTGCTCTCCCTGTGTGCTCAGAGCCTGTCGTCTCCAGTCCCTAAGTGCATACAGTCACTAGGAAGGAGAAAAGACTGAGACAGAACTCTCCGTTCCTGTCCAGGCTCTGCTGAGCAGGACCCACTTAGTCACGTGGCTGCCCTCAGGCACCCTGTGATCTGGTGGAAAGAGAAGGCATAGCTCTCCTTGGAGCTGAGCAGAGATAGCATCAGTTGTTTCCACCAAGCTCTCATCTTTAGTTTCTGCTTTAAGAAAGAAGAGACAGAAAAGATCAGTCACGATGATTACAAGAGAATTTTAAAAATGCCTGCTAAATTAAAAAGAAAAAGAGAGGTAAGCTCTCATTTTATAAATACCTGAAGATTCATGCTGGGAATGTGTTCCTTTCCTTGGAATTTTTGATCTTAGAAATGGAGTTTTTAGTCCATTGCATGTATAGAATTTCTTGACTTTCATACTTAGGAAATTTCCAACCTGGAACGTAAGGCTACGTTTGATGAGTTTCGTCTAAGTTGTGGGTAATAAACTCACACAGTGGTTGGAAAACACTTTGTGAAATAGGAAGTGCTTCCCTACATGTCCTAAATAGTGGTCTTCACTCAGGAGTTGCTCTTGAAATGAGCTCTCCCACAAACCCCTGTAAGAGACCCCATTTCCCTCCGCCAGTACAGAAGCCTTAATGGAGTAGTTGCTGTCTTTTCCTGTCTGTGCCTCAAATGGAATGAGAACCAAAGTCTCCTTTGGTCATACTTGCCAGTTACCACCTCTGCCAGGCCCACACTGGGCACCCCTGGTACCGCCCCAGTAAGCCTGGCGACTGGTTTCAGGCCCCTGAGATGGGTGGGCGCCGAGTCCTGAGATTGTGGAGTTTGGAGCCTGGATTCTTTCATCCAGCAATCCCAGTGGGCAGCTTGCTGTCCACCTCCACCCTGCACATCTCTGAGCTGGCCGCCAGTCAGCGGCTGCACCCCACCTGCCTTCTTCCTGAATGTTCCAGGACTCTCATCCTTGCCTCGTCTGGGACCCCCACGTCCTGGGCCCCTTGTTTGGTTTGCTCCGCATCACCCACTTCCTTTTCCCCTCATGGTCAGTTTCTCCCACTTCTGCCCCTTCCTCCCCCTCTACCCAGTGTCTCCATTCTGGGAGAATCTGGCTGCATTTAACTCTTACCTGAAGGAAGCCTGTTCACAGCATACAAGACTTTTAGGAAAGACTGGGTGTGACCGCCTTAGACAGCCTCGGAATACCCACACATTACCCGCTCCTAGTGAAAGAGCCAGAGGCCCTGCAGATCTCCTGTGGGTTTTGATTTTGTTTCTTCAATAATTTCTAAATTTTACTTGCTTCTTTCTGAATGGATAATTCGTTCCCTTGGTACAGGATGTGAAAGGTTCAGAAAAATGTACTGCAAACTTCCTTCCCGCTCTTCCCTGGAAGCCACCAGTGGTACCACTTTCCTGTATAACCTTCTACAGTTTTATCATACAACTTCTAAAGTAGAATTCTGAGTATTCTTGGTCACAGAAACTCTCTCTATATAGCACCATTTAAAAAACTGAAAGAACCCGAAAGTACTCCATCGAAGTCGGTCAGATTGAATTTTTTGTGTCCCCATTCCCTCCTTTTGGTCCTGACTCAGGAGTTTTCACATGGTTCTACTCGCAGCCTCCTAACTTTCGGATGTCTTGTTCACTTATGGCGTCGGCCTAGGGTTTCCAAGGCCTAGGGGTGACGGAGAGGAAGTTGCCAGGTGGAATTGGAGAGCTGGTTGGGGAGTCACCCCAGGTACATACCCATCCCTCACGCATCCCCCACTCCCTGCAGAAGTACCTGCTCCCCCTCATCACGGGTGGCCGGGAGGACCGGAAGCAGCTGGAGCGGATGGAGGCGAGTCTGTCGGAGCTGAGTGGCAGCGTGGCCCAGACAGGTAAAGATTAATGACTCCATCAAGTCACCCCTCAAAGCCTTCTCCGAGCAGCCCCTTCTCTGCCCCCTCCCCTCTCCCCTCCGTCTCCACTTTATGTGGTGACTTCATTTATCTGCTCTGAGAATCTGTTCACATTTGCAAATGAAGCCGCCGTCATTTCGGTTTAATTTGAAATTGCTTGTTTACTGTCGGCGCGGCCTCAATTAATTATGTTTTTACGGAAAGGCTCCCAACCTCAGAATATTAATAAGGGGAATAAAATGACAGCCTTTCTAAGGGCTGTAAAGTTCATTTTTAATTTCTGCTTCCATGAGGTTTTCAGGGGGGTTTTCAGCAATTTTCCCCCTTCTCTCTGAGAATCCCATGCAGGGTCAAGAGAGGCTGTAATTACTGCGGCTCTGGGGACCCCGGCCACCTCCTCTGTCATCGACTCCACGGGGCCCGCGTTCATTACCCGGTGCCCCATTGGTGGCCCAGATTAGCTGGGACCTGTCGCTCCAGGGGTGGTTTTTCCTCCTATATAAGCTTGTTTACTAGATGGAGGCTCAGAATCTAAAAACTTGGGCACAGAGAGAGCCGCCTGTCCCAGACCGGAGTCTGCCCCTCAGGGGCATGTCTGTGTAGCCCCCGGAAACCCTCCGGGGCCCAGACCCTGCTGGTGAGTCTCCTCGAGACTGACAGTGGACAGGGCGCTCCAGCAGCCTCGGGGTTGTGTGGGGAGGGCAGGAGGGAGCCATATGGAAACGAGATTGGCAGTTTTTAACCACTCCTGGATGCTGTGGACCTGAGCTGTGTGTCTCCCAGGATCGAAGACTCTGCCTTGAGTTTTACAAGGACACAGTGAGGCCCAGGAGATGAGGGAGGCAGGCAGTCCCGAGGTTGGAAGAGCCAAGCAAATCATAAGCAGATATAATTAGAGGGGAGAGGTTTTGGACGGATATACTGTTGACCATGGACAACTGCACAATAGAAAGATAAAGTAGAAATACTAGAGGTTAGATACAGTGCAGGTAGATTACCCAGAGTGCAGATGAATTATATGGGTTGCTGGAGGGCGGGGGGATGTCTGCAGATAAATTAGAGGCAGCGGCTCATAGGTGTGTGGACAGAAGGGGGAATCTTCATGTATCATTAACAGAGATGCGCCTGCTCTCTCCTCCCAGTGACTCAGTTACAGATGACCCTCGCCTCAGTCCAGGAGCTGCTGATTCAGCAGCAGCAAAAAGTCCAGGAGTTGGCCCATGAACTGGCCACAGCCAAGGTACTTGTCCCTGACCCTCTGGCCCCTCCAGACTCTTCTTGCTCATCCTTGTGCCCAGTTCATTGCACGTCTGATGCCCTCTTCTGATGCCGGTTACACTGCCCTTGTGGAGAAAGGAGGCGGTCACCAGGCGGGCGATGTGGCATTCAGTGACAAGGGCTGTCCTTTCTGTCTCCGAGGCCCATCCCCCTGACCATGGCAGCACATACTACAGCTCTGGTGGTAGCTGGCATAGACATGGGATGGTCTCCACCTACAAGTTAGGTCACAGGCCCCAGCGTTGCCAAGAATAGTTCTGGGGAACAGGGTGGGAGAAGGGTGCCCAGGCCCTGGGCTAAAATGTGGCTGTTGGCAAGTTCTCTAAACCCTGGTCTTGGGCTCCGGTAACCCCTGAAAGATGAAGACCCACCTAGGATGACCGAGGCGGGTTCATTGCCTCACTTCCCACATCTGGAGCCCCCATGGCAATATCAGATCCTGGGATCAGACTGCCCAGGTTAAAGCTCTCTGGCACATGCTCGCTGTGTGACCACAGACAAGTCACTTGCCATCTCTGATTCTCAGTTTCTGTGTCTGTAAAATGGAGCTGTAACCCTAGCTCCCTCATTGTGTGCACCTGCTGGGAACAGTGCCTGGCTCCTGTCAGCTCCCAGGAACGCAGCTTCTTGGTCTGGGCTCTGTGCATGTGTGACACGGTGTTCCTGACACAGCCTGGCTCAGGAGACAGTGTTCCACAGCGTCCGCTGCCCTCCCCACTCCATCCCCACCTCCTGTGTAGCTTTCTGGCTGCTTCCATGCAACTCTGACCCCAAGGAGAGAGAGGTGGCTTCCTACAGGAGAGCCCCACCTGAGCATACTGCTCAAGGTCCCTGTGCTCCTGAGAAAAAGGTGCCTGGGAACCCCCTTGTGGGGCGCCCCACCCACGGAGGTGCAGCCTCTGCATGTGGGGATGGTTACCAGTGGCCACTGCCAGCCACCTCGCTCCCTCCCCGTGGGCGGCAGTCCATAAAGCAGCCAGGGAGGGGCTGACAGCCCGTGCCCCGCTCTGCTCCATTATCTTTGGGAGCGGCGGCCTGCCAGTGGCCAGAAGCCATTCCGGAAATTGGAAAACTGTTTTCAGACCCCAAGCATTGAGATTAAGACCACATGTTGCTTTTTAGAGGGGAGGGGGGCCCAGGATGGCGTTGGTGGTTGAGAGCTGCCCCTGGGAGTTTCTTGGGCTTGTTTCCTTGATGTCCCCCCACCCCTAGCCCCTTTCATTCTCTCCACTGAAGCCAGGCTCACTGTGTGTGACTTCAGTTACCCCATAAACCAGAGACTTAGAGCTGTGTTTTCTCAGCTGTAATGTAAGTTTTTATATCTGGCTTCTAAACTCCTACTGCAGCACTGTAAAAAATTAAAAAGAAGAGCGTTAAGTAATTAAAAAACCTACATAAAACTGAAGGCTGGGAGTTTTCTACAACTGTTTTTTTTTTAAAGAGACTGGCTAAAAAGCCCCAGATGTCAGATTTTATTTCTAAATCCTGGCATCTGGCACCAGATGCGTTTGGAAATTTGAGTCCTTTGTCGGCCGGTGAGTGGAAATTGCTCCCTTGTTAATGGACTGCGATAGCTTTCAGGGCCTCTGAGAAGCCAGCACAGTGGCTGCTGGATCTGTGCTGTCTGGTGGTCTGGAGCATGGACCCTGAGGGGATGTGTGTGAGGGCAGCAGGCGTCTGTGCGTGCTTGCTCCAGGCTGCCCCCTCGCAGGGGCTTTTTCCTGCCAGGTTGTGCCCGGCCAGGCTGCTTGCTGGGGCTTCCCTGGTGGCCCCGTTGGTAAAGAATCCACCTGCAATGCATGAGACCCGGGTTCGATCCCTGGATCGGGAAGATCCCCTGGAAAAGGAAATGGCAACCCACTCCAATATTCTTTCCTGGAGAATCCCATGGACAGAGGAGCCTGGCAGGCTACAGTCCATGGGGTCGCAAGAGTTGAACATGACTTGGCGACTAAACCACCATTAGGCCGCTTGCCTGGGTGGTGCCCAAAGCAGCCCCCGCTGTACCTCCGAGCCCCCACAGGCTGGCGGGAATGTGTGGGGCCCTCCGTTCTGCCAGCCTGGGGTTCCCTGCTTTCTCCTGAACTTGTGACCCAGGGGTTTTGTGTCAGGTGGGAACAGTGGTGTCAAGGGTCAGGAGCCTTGCACCTGGAAGTGGCCTCTAGCCTGGAGGACCGAGTCCCACATACCTGGAATTGGCTCGTAAGTACCTCACAGGCAGCTGGGCCACAGGCAGCTCCCTTTTGGGGGATCACTGTTTTGGCTTTCCTCTCTTCCGTTTATCCCAACAAGATTTGCTGAAAAAAGGTGTGGTTCTCTGAAGTTAACATGGAAAGTGGTGTCAAAATTCAAAGGAGAAGTTGTGCGGGGGAGGCTGGCATTTGTCCAGGGTCATTGTGGCTACTTCCCCCGTGGGCCCTCCTCCAGATCATTATCTTTCTCTCTGCTGAGCCTCAGGATCATCCCGAAGAGCACATGTCAATGGGCTGCCTGGCCGGGGCTCCTGACTTTGCAGGCAGTGGGGCCTGATGTCACAGCAGTGTGGGGAGGGGCACCCAGGTGAAGCCTGCCTTCAGGGTTCATTAAGAGTGGGGCCAGGGGATGGGCCAGGCAGGTGCTCAGGTGTCCCCTTGACCCTCCACAGCGGCTCCAGGTTCCAGGCCCTGTGGTTGAAGGTGGCTGCCTGTCTTATCCCCAGGGCTCCCGTGGGTGTGTGTGTGGGGGTGTGATCTCTGCAGGGAGAAGGTCTTAGGTGGAAGGAGTAGTTGTGTAGAGATGGAATTTATCTTGGTTTGGTTTTAATGGAACGTTTCAGACACGCATGGAGTAGCGGGCCACTCAGTGAACCCCATGCTCTGGCCACACAGTGCAGCCGAGGCCTTGGGCCTGTCCTGCCTGAGGTTATTCTGAAGCACATTCCAGACAGCGTATCATTTCACAATGCAGACACTTCAGTTTGTATCTGTAAAAGATGAGGGCTCTCTTGTTTTATTTTTTCATAACCAGGATGCCAGTTACACCTGAATACATGTCATGTTTCCCTAAGAGCGTCAGCTATCCAAATAGAGTTGGGAGGATGTTTGTTTTAAGGGAGTTGTCATTTCAGCAGAGATCCAGGCAAGCAGACCCCAGAACGGGCCACAGCAAACCTTCCCGAGGGGGTTGGGTCCTCCTGCTGTCCCAGCGTCTGAGTTTGGAGGGGTGGGGGGGACGTGCCACACTGATCCTCAATCCCCTTTGTTGTGACTTTCAGGCCACCACGTCCACCAACTGGATCCTGGAGTCCCAAAACATCAATGAACTCAAGTCGGAAATTAACTCCTTGAAGGGGCTTCTTTTGAATCGGTAGGAGCTGCAAAGGCGTGGGCTTCTGTTCCTCTCTCTGCCTGGGACTGGGGAAGGGGGCTCTTGGGGCCCATCCAGCTGTTGCCGTTGTGGGTGGTGGTGGGGCATCTCCTGGGGCAGGGGCGCCCCGTGTTTCCCACCCCGGATTGAGCTGCGTCATTCAGGCATGGAGTTTGGGAATCTCAGGCGATTCTGCCTACCCTCCCCGGCAAGTCCCTTCCTCCCTGCTTTAGGAGTGACCGTCTGAAGGGCCCACAAGAGTTTTGAGATACAGTTCTTGGCCCTGTCCATACCTGGTCAGGGACAGCTGGGGCCAGAGCAGGACCTTGCAGAGGAGCGCATCCCCACCTTCCGTGCAGGGTCACTCTCTCTGTCCTGAGTCCTGGGAGCTCTCAGTGACAGCTGGGTCCCAGAGAAGGATCCCCGCTGAGGGCCAGACCAGGGGTCTCTGTTCCTGCTCAGTTTGAAGGGCAGAAGAGATTGATTTCAAGGCAGAAGGTTGTACAGTGCCCCGTCCCCCCACCCCTGGCTCCTGTGGTCTCACTGTGTCATTCCGCAGGGACAGCACCAGTGCAGCCCCAAGAGGAGGGTGACTGACTTGCCCAGGCTTGCCCAGGCCTGCCTGATTTTAAAGCTGAAAGTCTTGTGTCCTGGGCCCCTGGGACAGTTGGCCACCCCACCTGCAGAGTGCCCTGGGGCTTAGTGGGTGGCTGAATGAGACGGCACTTCACTCCAGGTCCAGGATGAGGGGCTGGCAGGGTCTTGTGGTCACAACCAGAGTACCCAGTTCTCCAAGTCACCCACGTTCAGGCTCTCTCTGGGGACAAAACTGTGGCCTTAAGAGAGGTGTGGCCAAGCTTGGCGTGCCAGCGGGCTGTCCCTCAAGGACGTGGTGAACACCGAGGCCCTGGTGGTGGGCTTCATGTGGCAGGGTCTGAGGGGAAGGACTCTCTGGAACCAGAGCTGGCAGACAGCCCAGGAGGCAGCAGGCCTTTGTCCTCTGGTCTCAGGCTGGGGTAGTCTGGTCCCACCTGTCCTCAAGCTTGATTTCCAAGCCCTGGCTGCCAGCCCAGGGCTCAGGGCGGGGACACAGGAGTGGGAGGGGAGAGCTGGCTCTTCTGTCAAGTGTTGAGCTTGGAAGTTTTCTAGAAAAGTCCAGGTCTGATGTCTCTGACCCCGTGGCCCAGGCCAGGTTTTGCTCTACCCATCTTTGCTCAGACCAAATCAAAGTGGAGGCCCAGGGGTCTTGGGTTCCAGGATTCTGTCCTCAGCCCTTGCTCGCTGCCCCTCCCAGGGCTGGAGACTGGACCCTGCTGTGAGGACCAGAGGAAACGGGCTCTGGGGTGTGGCAGGCTCCCCAGGGCCAACTGTCCTGCAGCTGCCAGGGAGGGTGGGCCTGGCCCTGGGTGGAGGGACCACGGATGGCACCCTGAGTGGGAAGGGTACTCTCCGGGCAGCCCTGATGCCTCTGGCTTCTATCTCAGCGTCTCTAACCTCCAAGGGGCCAAGAGGCCTGTTTGCAGAGGAAGGGAAGGGAGGGCAGCAGGCGTGTGTGGCGGAGCCCCATCCTGTCCCCTGTGGGCTGGCCCTGGCCCTGTTCACCGTCCACTAGCGTTGGGGTTCTGGAGGGGCAGCTCTGCTGAGGGCAAACCTGGCAGTATTCTCCCTCCTCTACCAGGAGGCAGTTCCCGCCCTCCCCGTCGGCCCCGAAGATCCCCTCCTGGCAGATCCCCGTCAAGTCGCCCTCGCCCTCCAGCCCCGCGGCGGTGAACCACCACAGCAGCAGCGACATCTCGCCTGTCAGCAACGAGTCCACGTCATCCTCGCCCGTGAAGGAGGGCCACAGCCCTGAGGGCTCCACAGCCACGTACCACTTGCTGGGCCCCCAGGAGGAGGGCGAGGGGGTGGTGGACGTCAAGGGCCAGGTGAGGATGGAGGTGCAGGGTGAGGAGGAGAAGAGGGAGGATGAGGAGGACGAGGAGGACGAGGACGTGAGCCGCGTGGACGAGGAGGACTGCCTGGGGGTGCAGAGGGAGGACCGTCGGGGTGGGGACGGGCAGATCAACGAGCAGGTGGAGAAGCTGCGGCGGCCCGAGGGTGCCAGCAACGAGAGCGAGCGGGACTAGGCGGTATGGGGGTGGGGCCCGGGGTGGGGCGGGGTCAGGGCCAGGCGGGCAGAGCCTGGCCACCCAGCCCGCTCCGGACAGACAGGCCTCTGACCTTGATCTCATTCAGGTCGAGGGCTCCGAACTCTCTGGGCTCAAGCCCCTCAGCCCCCTCCCAGACAGATGTCCGGTCCAGGGGCGTCAGCTGAGTGTCTTAGCCAACCTAACACCGTGCATGACAAGAGGTAGTTTATTACCTGACTCCTGACCCTCGCAGAGGGGGAGCCTGGGGACCCGGCGCCTGCCGGCCCCTCCCTCTGCCCCGGCCCCTCACTGCTTCTCACCAGTGGCCACGGGGGCCACACTCGTGATTCCAAAAGCCACGGCCCTGCGCTCCCCCCCGGGTGAGGGTCCCCCGGGTCCCCCCAGCCAGGCCCTGCCTGGCAATGCCGCCCGTGTGTGCTTGTCGCAGCCCCGGCCTGGTCACCCGCCACATGTGACAGCGCACTGCTCCCGACCTGGCTTGCTGCATGGTGGCTCCGCTACCGCTCTGGGGAGATGTCCTGCCCCACCAGGACCAGGCCCGGGGCCCTCCTGTCTGACCCCGCCCTGCCCCCAAATGTGTTCTTTTGTGTGATCAGGTATAGGTATCAGAATATAAGATCCGACTGTATATAATTGTAATAAATACAAGTTGTCACTATTTAATTCCTGCCTATGGCTCCCTGTCTGCTCACGGCACCCCAGGCCTGGGGATGGATCTCGGCCAAGGCCACACCAGGTGGGTCCCAGGAAGGGGACGCGGGGGCAGGCCCAAGTAGCTCTGTGGTGGGCCTGCCTCCCTTGTCCAGTCTCCCTCACCAGGCAGGTGTCGCCACTGCTCACCCACAGTTGGAGGGTGTCGTCCTGGGTCTGGACCGGCTGCCACAGGGCGACATTCCGCCCCAGGAGGAGAAGGGACCTCACGTTACTGTATATAGACCTGGTGTGGAGTGTGATGAGCTCGCCTTCCTTAAATGGATGCGTGTGCTCCCAGGAGAGAGTGTCTCGTTCCCTCTTCCTCCCCCGTCTCCACTCCCTCTCACCCTCCCTGTCTCCCTTTAACCTTCACACAGTGTTTAGCTAAACCCAGGAAAACAGCACAAGATGCTCCTTCCGGGGAGCCCCCGGGGCTGTGGCCATTGGTGCAGGGGTCAGAAGGCCTGGTCCCACCCTGGGCCTCGTGTAGACACAGGCTTTGGAGACAAAGTGCGGGGACCGTGGAGGTGGAGCTGCAGCGGGTATGTACCCTCTGGGGAGTGGGGGGGGCCGAGGCCTCCTGACCCACTGCCGACCTCCCACCCACACAGCTCTGGGGAGGGAGGAAGCCACAGGCCGAGAATGAGGCACTTGGCAGGGGGGTGTTCTGTCTCAGAAAACATTTCCACTCTCACCCAGGCCCCTTTTTCGGCTCCTGCAGCAAGCTCCTTCCTAACTCTCAGGCAGGGGCCCTCACCCTGCCCCTCTGAGTGTCCAGCCTGCTCCCTGGTTTCCCAGGTTAGGTCTTTGATGCTCATCACCTCACATGGTGTTCCGGCTTGTGCTCCCCAGGGACCAGCAGAACCCCCACCCCACCCCCTTCTGAGTCACCTCTGCCTCTTGCCACCCCCACAGAAGCCAGGGTTCTCCATCCCCAGGGCTCCCCGCCTCATCTGGATACAGGACCCAGTTTTTGGGAGTCATGCAGGCAGACCTGAGATGACAAGAGAGAGGGGGCTGCCCGCAGGGTCAGAAGCACCCCTTGGCCTCGGGGGCTAGAGACAGGGTTCCCCCAGACCTCCTCGGGGAATGGAAGCCTGGGTCCTGTGTGAGCCATCTCGAGGGCTACCCCTCTGCTTGGTGACATTTCTCATGGCCTCTCACTTTGCAGAGGTCTCTCCTGCAATGGGACCAGACAGGGGGTCAGAGGACAGATAGCCTGGGACAGAGATGCAGCCAGAGCTGCTGGCATGGGGGCCGCGGGGCATCGCGGGGCACGCCTTCCTCAACGTGGGGGGTCAGGGGTCTCTCGGGTCCCTAAACTCACTGTGGGAGAGAGGGACGGAAACCTGGGCCTGGGGGACCTTTGCCCTGTGGGTCTCGAGTGACGATTTCAGCTTTTGAGGACAGAGAATCTGGCGTGATTTCAGGGAGGAAAAAAAACCCCTCCCCAAAACGGCGTGAGTGCTGCCTAATAAAGGCAGCTGCTGGACGGAGGGAAAACAGCCCTTTGAAAAAAAAAGCCTTTCATTAGAAAAATAATGCATTTCATCCAAATAAGGTAAAAATATTTGGAATGGGGCAGAAGTGAGCAGCAGGCAGCGCCTGTCAGGCCCTTTCTGGAAGGGAGAAGATTATTAAACTCAATTACAAAGTATTTTCGTAAAGTGTCTTTTAAGAGAGAACTCACCCTGGTGCTCAGAGGCTGCAGGATGGCCCTCTGGCCCCCAAGGTCTCGCTGGCTGCCCCGGGTGTTCATGGGCTCTGCCTTGGGCAGGGTCCTCCGTTGGGCAGCCCCCGCTCCCCTGCTCCTTGTGATGCCCCCAGAACAGGCAAGGCAGCCGCTTCTGCCCTGTCCTCCCTGGCCAGTCGGCTTCCTTCCGTGAGGGCTGACCTGTCAGTGTCCTGGGACACCCTGGTGGGGAAAGGAAGCATTCTGAGTGAGGGGAGAGGGATGCCGAGCTTGTAAAATGTTTTTTTTTCATACTGTGGAGGTTCATGTCAGATGTTCAAACAATCCAGCCCATATGGAAGGACTGGAGGGGACAGAAACCCCTCTTGGGTCTCTCCGCTTGGTTTCACAGGTGTGTGGTTGTAGTCTGTCTCTCTTTCTCTTTTTTAATAAAAACGGGAAGTTTCTTTTCGTGTTGTGTGACTTGCTTGTCTCCCTGAAAGTAAAGCGTGTGTGTCCATGGGGTACACATCAGTTGGGAGGAGAGGGCTTCTCTGGAAGGCGCCTCCCCCGGGACCCAGCCAGGACTTAGGTGCTGCTGCTTCTCGGGCTTTGGCCTAGAACCTGCCTCTCCTCTGGTGAGCCCTGCCTTAGACCCAGCCCTGCCCCACCCTGCCTCGCCCCGCCCCTGCTGCAGACCAAGACCCCAGTTCTGCCCACAGAGGGTGGAGGGCAGCAGATGGGACTGGCCTGACACCTGATCCTCAGGAGTGTGCTTAATCCTTAGTGTTTCTTCACCTGTTTGTTTAGAATTGTTTCTGCCAAGGCACCCAAAGAAGAGGGTCAGCATCTCCAGATAGCAGGCGGGAAGGCGCCAGGGAGACCCTGAAGGTGGCGGTGGCTCCAGCCTCAGGTGAAGCGCTCACCTGGGCGTAGACCCAGTCCTGACTGACCCCTCCCTGCCCTGGACCCCTCTCTGGCCCCTGCTTCTTCATCCTGCACAGGTGTGGCCCATCCCGGGATCAGTAACCCCCTGCTAAGGTCAGACATCTCCAGGGTGCCTGAGATGATGGTGTGTGACCACCACCTTCTCCCCCGAGAACTGGCCCAGCCCCTACCCAAGCCAGGCCCTCCCTCTGTTCTGCTCTAATCCAGAAGTGGAGTTTAAATCTCCAACCGTGTCGTGCTTTTCCCTGAGTGGTGAACAAACCTTACCAGTTTACTTTCGTCAAGCACTTTAAAGCTCGTGCTGTCCTAGAAGGATGTGAGATTTTATCATTTCATAAGGAGGCTGCCTGAAGCCTTCCCTGGCCTGACACGTCTGGGAGGACCTTCTTCATAATGATGAGGCCATGTTTAAAACTCATCTTGGACACTCAGGTGTCCAGCCCGCCCATCCTAGCCCAGTAGGTCCGGGAGGCTGTTTCCAGGGTGCCCTGTAGACCCAGTGTGCGGCAGCCAGGCTGGGGGTCTTCTGTGGGGAAAAGGCCTTGGACTTTCTGAGGCCCCGATGTCTCTCCCAAGTAGTGTGGGTGTGGGGCTCACAGGAGGAGAAGCCGCTGGGTCCGGGCCTGTGCTGGCTGTGTGCCTCTGGGAGGTGTGCCCCTGGGAGGCACGTCCCGTCCACCCCCTAAGGTGGGGCAGCTCCTCCAGTGAGGGTGGCACAGGCCCGGCCCCTGTTCATTCCCCAGGACGCCAGCTGGTCCGAGGGGACCTGCTTCCTGGGGGGCAACAGCACTTCACTACCCCTGTGCCCTGGCCCTGGACCAAGGCTCCCCGAGGGGCCAAAGCCACCTCTCATGAAGGCAAACGGGACAACAGGCTGTCTTGGCTCGGGGTCCAGGTGGGCTGAGGCCCGGTTGCCCAGGAATGCCGAGGCCCGACTCCCATGGGTGACTCAGCCACTGGTAGCACCCAAGCAGGGCCAGGTCGTGGGAGGTGGGCAGGCCACGAGCCTGTGCAGCTGGTTCTGGCTCTTTCCAAGAGGTTACAAAACTCTTGAATTTGCCCCAGTTTGGGTGTAGGAGCATCACACCACCACAGCTAATTAAACCTCAGAATGAAAATGTTTTACTGCAATTCCTACTGAGTCCAACGAGCCACACGGAGTCCTGTGGGACCCAGGCCCCTGAACCCTGGGGCGGGGCTATGCCCCCCTGCAGGCCCCTCCCTCCTTGGGGCGGGTCATCCGGCCTCAGGGGGCGGTCCCTGGGGCTCAGGGCTGTGGGCTGACCTGGGTGCAGCTTCCTCCTGTGTCCCAGGCCCCTGTCTCCCTGAGAGTCTTCTGAGGGGTGCCCTGAGGCCCATCTCACCCTTCCCTGGGCCCTGTCTTGTCCTGAGTGGAGCTTAAAAGCTTGCCCTGCCCTCAGGTAGGCTGAGCCTCCTCTTTACCCACGTATGGGTCTCCCAAGGTCCATCTGGCCCCAGGAGACCTGGAGGCAGCTACAGAGGGGGCAGTTTTGGGGAGTCTATCCCAAGTCCCTGTCCTTCCCCACCAATCCTCCACCTGGAGTTGGAGCCTCTGTAGGCCTTGCCCCCGCGGCAGGGCCCAGATGGAGCCCTGTGGTCATAGCACCCACCCACCCGGCTGAGGGCTGAGGTCCGAGCCTGGCTCCCTGCCTCCCCTCAGGCCCCGTGGGAAGACTGCTTGGCCCACCAGGGCCTGTGAAGCTCCAGTAATAGTTTTAATTTGTTGAACTTGTGTTTTATCCCATAAATTAGTCACTGTTTTATTTAACAGAATCGAGATATCCACAAACAATAGGCGAGTTCTAACTTGAACATTTTAATAAGACAGAAAAAAGTATATATTTTTGTGTCTGTTACAAACAATTTATGTAAATAGCCTGTGGGCTGCATTCCAGGAGGAAAGAAGAAAGGGAAGGGCCCTCTGTGCTGGGGCTGGGTTAGAGAAGAGGATTTCACAGTGGAAAAGTGACCATGTTGAGTGGGGCCCTGGGAGCGGTGCAGCCCCCTCGCCCACGCCCCCTTGCGGTCCTGGGTGAGGAGGTGACACCTGGCTGAGGTGTCACCTTCCAGCCCCTCCCTCCCTCCCCAGGAAAGGGGTGACCTCCTTGCCAGGATGTGACATCAAGTGAGATGCTCCATCTTTGAAGGCAGAGGAGCCCGGAGGCCCAGCACATGTCACATCTCCTCCCCTAGGCCCTGAACGCCTGGCCTCCTGGAAGGAGGTGAACTCAGGACAAGGCTGGCAGGATGGTGCAGAGGAGGAGGTTTACTGAGACGCAGGCCACCACCTACAAGTGTCAGGGCTCAGGAGGCGGGAGGCCTGCTCTGGGCGGGGCCTGACTGGAGTGCTTTCACCACCCGTGCTTCTGAGGGAGCCCCAGCCATGGTGCCACCGGAGCTGGCAACTCGGGCCTGGGGCTGGTGGCTACAGACCCAGGCATCGGCCCCCTCCGGCTCTGCCCCTGTGTGCTCCTGGCAGGAGCCGAGCCAGCATCCGGATCGGATCCGGGTACGCGCTGTTCCCAGTCCGGGCAGGTCCCTGCAGGAAGGAGGAAGGAGCCGAGGGAGGAGGCAGAGGGAGGACCCTGCCAAGCGCCTGCCCAGTAGCCCTGGCTGCTTGGGGAGAGGGCTGGACAGGGTGGGGGCCCGGGAGCCCCTGGCACCGTGCTGGAGGCCCGAGGCGTCTAGGCCAGGTAGCTTCTGAGCCTCCATGGGGCCTTCAGGCAGGGCCGGGCCCAAGCCCCCCACTGTCTGTTCCCAGTCACCGGGGAGCACTTGGCCCCATCCCAGAGGTGAAACTGGGCTGCCCCCTTCCCTCCCAGAGCTGAAGGGTGACCGACACCCTCCTCCCCTCCCTGCCTTGGCACAGGGTGCCCAGGCCTCCATGGAGGCTGTGCCGCCCTGGACAGCTAGGTCGCTGCCAGCCGCTTGGGGCTGATTTCAAAAATAAAAGATAACTTGATAGATTTTTTTTTTCCAGTTTTTATTGAGTGAAAATGTCAAACCTTGCATCAGTCATGCAAAAAAAAAAAATCAAATAAATAAAACACATATATTAAATTTCTAATAGCACTAAATTCAAGTGGAAAAATATTCAGTTCTTAATAACCAGGTGCCGAGGAGACCAGATTCAAGTAATCAGAGCACACGCTGTTCAGTTCGGTTTTCACGTTCTGCATTTTTGTCTCAAAACCTCTCTATATATCTCTATATATCTATATATGTATATACATATAGATATATACACACACATATGTGCATACATATTATTTTATATTTATATATATACACATACATAGTTATAAAACATTAAAAAGAGCATTGGTGGATCAAGCATTGTTTTCCCCACAGAAAGAAAATAAAACAAAAATTACACATTAAAATTCAAAATGAGCTAGCAATGGCTTATAGTCCTAGTGTGCAATATGAAGGTTACAAAAGGCTAGACTTCGCACTGTCGGCATCTTCTTTTTTTTTCTTTCTTTTTTTTGATTTTGCTACATTGAAAAAAATTTTTTTTTTTTCCTTTACAAAACTCCTTCCACAGACTCCACGGTTCTGTGGTCGGGCACAAAGTCTGGGCGAATGCTCAGCAGCAGCACATGGTGCCCACAGAATTCAGGAGGCTCTGGTAGGGGCTGTTCTAGAAAACCACTTGTTTCCTGTTGAATCAGGTACATCCGTCTCACCACTCCTCCCTCCTGCTCTCTCCAGTTCAGATGGTCCTGGCTTTCTGGCTGTGGGCAACCAAGAGGACAAAAAAAAAAAAAAAAAAAAATGGGAAGAAAAGAAAAAAAAAAAAGGAAACAACTGCCCTGTCCCCCTCCAACAGCCGGGTCAGGCTTCCCCTGGAGACCCAGGGGTAGGAGGCTATGGGTGACAGCCCCTCCCCCAGGCTGGACCTAGAGCTCTCCCTGTGGCATGTCACAGGGTCCAACTAAGATGGGGCAGGTGGCCTGACCTGGAGAGAAGGAGAACAGGAGAGGCCTTGGGCAGTGTGCCCTCGGTCCCTGTCGCCATCAGAGCCATCGGCTGGGTGTGAGCCAGGCAGGTGGGGGCCGGCTCTGGGGTAGGTGACCTCATCGTTGAAAAGGGAGGTGATGGGGGACAGGGGTGTATTTTGCAAAGGGAACCAAATCTGGGTGGGTTGAGCCAGCAAAGAAGTATCCCAAACAAAATAATAAAACAAACTGGAAAAAAAAAAAAAAGCCCTATAAAGCCACACGCATAACCAATAGAGAAAAACTCAAATGTTAAATTAACTACAAACTTGTATCAACAATAATAGTCCTTTTTTCTTGTCTCTACAAAATTCAAGTTAAAAGTTGGAATCACGCAGCTCCCATCAGTGCTAGTGTAAAGACAGACAGCCTCAACCTGGTTAAGGCCTCTAACTAAACGCTAAACGAAACCCCACGTGAGCAATTGCACTCGGGTCTCCAACCTCAGGGCTGGTCCGGAGGCGGTCTGTGCTCTGGGCGCCCGCCTGCTTTTTTTTCTTTTGTTCTGTGTAGAATAATAAACCTTTACAGGAAAAATACTGTACAACTTCCTCGAATTTTTTTCCATGTTGACTATTAAAGCCCCAAACTGTCGCATCCTTCCTGTTTTTACCACCTGGGTGGCGGAGACCCCCTGAGGGCACAACACCCCAGCACCGGCTGGCAGGCAGCGGGTAGGCCGAGGCGCCCCCTTCCCAGGCCCCAGCCCTTGGGGCGGACACCCGGCCAGGCCCCCGCATTGGGGGCCGAGTGCCCCGGAGCCGTCAGCTCGGCCAGTTCCAGGAGGTTCCCTCCGCGGTCCCTGTGGGTCACCCGCCGGCCGCCTCCTGCCCCGCCCTCCCCCGGGGCCAGGAGGGAGGGTCTTAGCTGCACGAATGGGAGGCCCTGCAGATGCTACAGGTGCCCGCCCGCCTCCGGGGGTGCGGAGCGGGGGTCACGGTGACCCTCAGCGCCCGTCCCAGCCCTGAGCAATGAGGAATCCCAGCGGCGCGGCGTGGGGTGGGGGGTGGGGGGCGGCGGGATCGGCTCCCGCCTCACCCTCCGGGGCCCCTGTCCCACCCCGGACAAGAGCACCTTCTGTTTCCCTGAAGAAGATCCCCGGACCGCGGCGGAGGCGGGTCCCGCCCGGGCAGCTTCTGTCCTGCCGGCCGCAGAGCTGCCGCGCGGGAGGGCGGGCGCGGGGGCGGCCCCGAAGCACCAGAGGGAGGCCCCCCCGCCTCTGTCCTGAGACGGACTCGGGGTCCGGAAGCACCGGCGGGGCGCACTGGCCCACTCGGGCCGGAGCGCCTCCCGACGCCGGGACGCGGCCGACACCTAGCTCTGGACAAGGGAAGCTTTACAGATAAATACCGTTTCTTACAAAATTAATAATAATAATAATAATAGCAATAGAATAAAGCGGCAAGATCCCGAGGGCGCCGCGCGCGCCAGGCCCCCCGACGCGCCACCTGCCCGGCGGCTACGGGGAAGGGCCCTCGGGGCCGGGGGAGGCGGCGGGCGGCTCGCCGCGCTCCTGCTTCTCGTGCTTGCGCTTGTGCGAGTCCATCTGCGACATGCCCACGACCGTATGGCGGCAGCCGGGGTAGGTGCAGTGGAAGTGCGAGCACTTGAGCTTGTACTTGCAGTCGGGCACGCCGCAGTCGGCGCTCGAGCTGAACTGGCAGAAGCCCGCCGCGCTGATCACGTCCTGCTTGCCGTGGTGCTTGCGGTGCGCGGTGACCTTGGTGCTGTCGGTGCAGCGGAAGCGGCAGCGCAGGCAGTGGAAGTGCGTGCTGCTCCCCGAAAAGGGGCAGTCGGCGAAGTGGCAGCTGAGCGAGGCCTTGAAGCGCTTGAAGTCGTCCAGCACCAGGTTGTCCACGCGGTCGTGGTGCTGCGCGTGCTTGTACATGTGCGTGCGCCCGCAGAACTTGTAGCCGCAGTTCTCGCGCGTGCAATGGTAGTGGGTGACCTTGAGCGAGAACTGGCAGGCCGCGTCCTTGCAGTCCTCGTATAGGTCGAAGCGCCGGAAGCCCTCGAGCATCATGCCCTCGTCCAACATCTTCCGCGAGGAAGCAGTCTTGCGCCGCTTGCCGAACGGAGACATGTCCTCAATGATCCAGAAGCGCTTTTTGGCCCCGGAGGCTGTCGGCATGGAGATGGTGTTCCCTGGGGAGAGGGGCTTGGTCAGCACGGGCACCATGCCCAGGATCACACTCGTGGCCCCTGATCCTGGCCCGCTGGCCAGGGGGCTGCACTTGAGGACAACCCCTTGGTTCCCTGTGGCTCTGCAGGCCTCTTTCGTGACCCAACCCCCAGGATAGTCGGGGGAGCCCCAGGCTTCCCCCTTAAGTCATCCCTGTCTGCAGGCTGACCGCACAGGCGTCCACCCTCGTGGGTGGCAGAGCATGCAGCTCTGGGCGATGTGGTGGCTGCTTCCTGGCCCGTTTGGGTGGGAAGTGAGGACACGTCCTGGCGCTAATTGAAGCTGAAGGGGGAATCTAGGTCGGCAGTGTAATTACCCAAGTTGGACCGGGGCCAGACGCCATCACGCGCCTGCCTCTAATGAGGGACAGGCCGGCTCCTTCTCCCTCCCACTAACCAGTTTCCTGGGCTGCCGGCCTGTCTGCGCCTGGAACCAGCCTGTTTGCCACAGGGACACCGAACGCCTTGGAACTGTTTGCAGCAGTAACTCCCTGCCCGGTGTGCAACCTTCTCCTTGGTACCAGAAGGTTCTTTAATGTCTTGGGCTGGGAGAGGGCAGCTCTGCTGAGCAGCAAGGACTGGAGCACAGGTTTGGCCGGCCGATGGGCCGCACTTGTGCTCTCCCACCTGGTCCCAGCTGCCTCGCTGGGCTCAGGATGCCCTGTTACTGCCCACGACTGCACTTTTCGGTCAAGCATCCGTGACCACTTTCTGCACAGGCAGCTGGGGAAAGGGCAGCTGTCCCGGTCACTCCCTGCTCCACCCCCAGGCCTGGCCCCCCCACAGCAGGCAGGGTGGGCACCCTCCAGGCTCCCCCAATGCGTTGACCCACCCAGTCCTCCCTGAACCTGTCTAGAACACCCACCTCAGGCATCAGGCTTCAGTACCACCCATTTTGGGAACAGACCCAATCCTCCCCCATCCCGGCCCCTCAGCAGGTGGAGAGAAACAACGACTGTGATGGACTGGGATACCTAGCATGAGGCAAGGGAGGGTCTGGGGCCTGGGGATCCAGGTGGGTCAGGAGTAGCTGCTTTGGATCTGAAGTCACTGGTTATGCCAGAGACAGAACAGGGGCTGAACACCATGAGGGGGACCCCTCTGTCGTGCTCTTTGCCAACACCCTGGGGAAGAACAAATGGAAGGGGCAGAGGCAGAGTTGGGATGGTGCAGCAAAGGGCAGGGGCGGGCAGGTCCCATGCCTGACGGGCAGTAGGTACAGGGTGAGGCCAGGAGCCACCTCTGCTATGAAGCACTGCCCAGGGCTCAGGCCTTGTCCTGTGTGGCTCCAGGAATGGGGGGTTCAGCCTGGTGTCAGGACCCTCCAAACCTGGGCGGGTCCCAGACATCAGGAGCTTTCCAAGAAAATCTCTGTCCCTCCCTCATCCTGGGTCCTGGGTGAATGCCCCAGAGCTCGGGGGACAGGCTCTGCTTTGCTGCAGGATTGGGGGAAGTGGGGTGGGCATGGCCATCTCGGGGTTCTGGCCAGTGGCTGAGATGGGGTGAGCCCCAGGGAGCCCTAGTGGTGATGTTCTGGCCTGCTCGGTGCCGAGCAGGAACCGAGAGAAGGTATCCTCGGGACAGGGGCCAGGCTCTCTCGTCTCAGGCGGGGTGGGGGAGAGGTGGGGCTGGGCTGTGAGGAGAGCAGGGTGGCCCTGTCCTTGGCCTGGCAGGCCACAGACAAGGGCCAGATCCTGGACCATGGCCTTGGGGCTCGGCCAGGGTGATAAGACAGCGGTGGAGAAGGTGTGTGTGAGTTACCTGCGGCGTCCTGAACTAGGGGGGCGTCACTTTTTACTGGAGATGGAGTGGCAGTGACAGGCGGGAAGCTGGGCGGGCTGCTGATGGGGTGGGCCAGGCCCCGGGTGGCTCCGAGAGTGGCACTGAGCAGAGAGTATGAGAGACAGGGTGGAGAAAAGAGGCATGGGAGGGAGGGGAGGGGCGCCCGGAGCACGGCCGGAGAGAAGGATGGGGTCAGCGGGGGCTGCGGAGCCCCGCGGGCAGCCTCGTCACCGGCAGCAGCAGGAAGAGGAAGAGGAGGAGGAGGAGGAGCCGGGCAGCCTGGAGAGGGTGGAGAAAAGCAGAAAAAAAAAAAAAAAAGAAAACCAAAACAAAGAACAAACAAACAAAAGAACCAAGATGAGAAACCCAATGGCAGAAGCAAGTATGATATGAAAATACGTGGACAGATGAGCAGACAGATGCCACGAAGAAGAGAGGGGAGGGGGTGGCAGAGGAAAGAGACTGGGAGGGCGTGGCAGTGCAGGGGGCGTCATGGCAGGCTGGGGAGGGCCCATGGGGAGGACCCCACTCTGGGGCCCAGGGACTGTGCTGGGGACCACGGCAGAGAGACCAGAGGAGGGGCCAGGGCTGGGTGGGGCCCACCTGCCCCTCTGGCTGTAGCTCTCAGCTCAAGCCTGGGTCCTCTCCTGGAAACGGAAGCCGAGGGCAGAGTGCAGGGGAGGTGGGCAGGGCGGCAGCAGGTGGGGACCCATGTCCCACAGACCAGCTGGCCCAGCCACACACTGGTCTGTCCTCCTTTGAGGCCACTTGGCTAATGATGCTCCAGTCCTGAGCCAGACCTGGCACTGCTGGGCCTCAGGAGGAGGGGCCCATCCCAGGCCGGGTGCCTCCCAGACCCCCTGCGGCCCCGTCCTGGCTGCCTGCTCACCTGCCGCGGTGCTCTCATTGCCCACAGGGGTGCTGGAGCAGCTTCGGTCCATGGTGGAGGACTCGGAGGACATGGCGCCCGGGCTGCAGCCAGTATAATCCATGTACTCATCCGTCTCGGTGTCCATCAGGCTTGGGGGGCCCTGAAAGGAAGCAGGGGGGCCCTGAGCAAGCTGGGCTGGAGGCGGTGCTGCCCACAAGGGGCATGCAGTCACTTCCAGGGGCTGCCAGAGTTGGACACAGGTGATGCCCTTTGGCCCCCAGGCGGTGGAGGGGCGGCTCACCTGGGAGGAGGGCACGCGATCGAAGTTCTTCCCCAGCATCCTCCGCATGTGCTTCCGGGCGTGGGAGGTCATCTGGTGCTTGAGGAGGAAGGAGAACTGGCAGCCCTCCCGGATGCAGTGGAAGTGGCTGTTCACCTGGTTGTACTTGCAGCCTGTGGACACAGCCCCACTCAGCTGTGAGCTTCCCCTGTGGGCCAGCTGGCACTCATGGTACCCGCTGCATGGCGGGCACTGTTCTGGGCAAGGGCACACGTGCCAGGAAGATGGCGTCTGGGGAAGGGCACTTGCCCATGGTGGCGTTCCCCTGAGGAACCTCCCACCCTCCCCCACCCCCAGAAAGTCCTCAGCCACCTGGATGTCCAGAGCCTGGGTCTCCCCTCCAGTCTAGCATGGACTTGTGGGACGATGGCAGGCTGGCCCCCTCCCCTGTCCCGCACATTGAGAGGTCCACGGGCTCCAGGGCAGGGGACCCTTGTGACCTGTCCACTTGATCAGCTGCCTCCCAGCATGCCATCTGTCCCCAGCTTTCCTCTGGGAACCCCAGGTGCTGCCTCCCACCCCCCAACCTTGTAGAGACGGCTGCAGACCGGCTGGCCCTCTGCCCCGCCCCCACCCACCTGGGTTTTGCTCTGGGCTGAGGACAAACAGAGCGGCCAGACTGAAATGGTATCAGCAGAGGGCAGGTGAAGGCCTGCCCGTTGCCATGGCACCTGAGCTGGCCAGGTGTCTTATATCATCCCCCAGCTTTGTTTTGGCCCCAGCTACCACCCAAAACACCCCAACTGAGTCAATAACGGCAACTACAGAATCCCAGACACCTGTAAGCTGAACCTAGGACCAGTATGGGTCACCGAGTGTTGATATCTGTTGCTGTGATAACCAGCCCTCTCTCAGGCTCTGAATTATTTTTGAATTAATACCTGAAGGAAAGGTTTGTTTCCTTTCATTTCTGGCAGTTGACTTTGAATCTCTCACCCTTCCCCTACATGATGGCCAGCTGGCTGCAGGCAGCAGCCCCCATCTGTACCCCCTGGACCCTGCAGCCGTGCACCTGAGTCACCTGAGCCCAGGTGTCTGCACCCAGCCTGCCTGGCTCCCACCTGCCTTCCAGTGTCCGGTCTCCTCCTGGGCAGATTACTGCCCCATGTCTGCACGTGACATGTGGCTCCATTCTGAGGCAAAAGCGTGGACTCTGCATGGAGCCTGCTCCCCACAGCATCCTGGGGCTGGAGCCAACGAGTCCTCAGGGAGGCCTTGTTCTGGGGCTGGGGGCAGCTTCCTGGCCAAGAACTCAGCTCTCAGCAGTGAAGTTAACTCTGAAGCTCCTGTCCCTGAGTTCAAGGTCACTTCCTTGCCCCCTGGCCGCCTCCTTCCAGGTCACCCCAGGTTACAAACGCCCTGGGCTGAACCGACCAAGTACCTGCTTGTCCCACCAGATCCCCAGCACCAAGCCTGGTGCCAGCCACAGTAGACAAAGAAGACCTCAGCTGCCACTTGTACCCCCCACCCCCTGCACCTCCTGCAACAGCAAAGAGTCTGGCCCATGGCTGCTCTTCAATAAACCTCTGCTGAGGACTTCCCTGATGGTCCAGTGGTTATGAATCCACCTGCCAGTGCAGGGAATGGGTTTTGACCTCTGGTCAGGAGACTAAGATCCCACGTGCCATGGAGCAAATAAGCCTGAGAGCCGCAACTACTGAGCCTGAACACCTAGAGCCTGTGTTCTGCAACAAAACAACCGCATTGCCAAGCCCATGTGCCATAATGAGAGAGTAGGCCCTTGCTCGCTGCAACTAAAGAAAGACCTCGCACAGCAAGAAGACCCAGCACAGTCAAATAAAAAAATAAAAAAAAATAAAATGTCTGCTGAGTGAGTGAACGAATGAACATCTCACGGCCCATTATGGATAAAAACTTCATCTTTAAAACCATGGATAGACATCCCAGGGCAGAGAATGTCAAGAATTTTGAAAACTTACCTGCAAGGCTCTCTTGAAAAGAAAAAGAAAAGAAACCAAGTCTGGAGACCAGAGATGAGGCTCCAGGCCATTTGCCCTGGGGGTGACTGGAGTGTTCTGGGTCACCCTCACCCCTCTTTCCAGGTTTTTGGGGTTTTGACTGTTTTCCCAGTTTGACAATGCCTGGTCTGTGACATTAAAACAAAAAACCCATGGAGCCTGATGTGTGGCAACAAGAAGTGGCACCTGGGCCTCTGGGGCCAGAGCCACAGCCCTGCCCACTGCGGCAGTTGCCTGCCCCCAGCCCTGGCCTGCGGTACCTAGCCTGCCGCACTCCTCGCGCTTGGTGAAGTACTTGAACCCATTGGCTGCCCGCCGCTCGGCTTTCTCGTGCTTCTTTATGTGCCACGGCAGCTTGGTGGTGATGTTGGTCACAAAGTAGCAGCCAGTCCGGAGACAGTGGTAGTGTCCACGCATCCGGAACTCGCAGTGCTGCGGGGAGGGACAGGAAAGTCAGGACCAGGCAGGCAACGGCCTCAAGCCCCACCTGCCCCAGGCCTCTGGGCTGTGGCTGGCCCTTTGCACTTGTGTGTCCTTCCGTGCTCAGAATCAGCAAACACAACTGTGTAAAGGTCATTCACGTTTTAAAAAGCACTAAGTCCTTTCTGTCATTTGACTAAGGCATCCTACCTGGTATCATTTCCATCTCTCTGAACCCACACCCAGAGCAGACATCACTAATCTATCCCAGCACTCTTCTCTGTGTGCCCAGACCTTGGGCAGACATCACTCATCTACCCTGGTACACCTCTCTGTCCGGATCTAGGCTCAGACTCCTCCTCAAGGCACTGTCAGGCGGCCCCTACAAATCTTAGGGGTAGGCCTTTATAGTGAATCTGATCTGCCCTTCCTGTCTGGAGCACAGAGAGTTCAATATCTGTCCAATGTTTTAAAATTCCAGGCCTCTAGAGAAAAGGAGCGTGGCCGTTCCAGGATGAGCAGAATGATGCCAAGTGCCCAGCGGTGGCTCATCATAGAGTCATCACTGAGGGTTAGGATAAAATGACAGACCTCACCAAACGAGCACCAAGCTGAACTGCTGCCCAGGGGTCTCCAGGGACCTGGGGCAGACAGTGTCCTTTCCAGAGTCTGGAGGAAGCCAATTAAAAAGGGTGTGAGAAGCAGAGCCTCTGCCAGGAGGAGCTGCTCCAGGGCCCTGTGCCTCCCTGCTCCCGCCCCAGGCCCCACCCTGCCCGTCCGCCTTGCTGACCTGGTTGGGACAGAGGCACTGCAGGGAGTAGTAAGCAAACTGGTCTCGCACGTTCACCAGGTTGTTGTTGGGGTTGATGTGGTCCAGGCAGTGGGACTCAGCCTTGCCAGAGGTTTTGCAGACGTACTTGCAGTTCCCAAAGAGACAGTGGAAGTGGAACTTGTTGGCATACTTGCAGTCCGTTGCGAGGCAAGGATCGCTGGAATGAAACCACGGCCCAGGTCATTGGTATTCCCAGTACCCTCCCCGCGGATGTCCTGACATTGGCTCATGCTGGGGTTCTGCTTCCCAGTCTCCCGTGGTGCCCTCAAGAGGAATGGCCCCAGGACTGCCCTCCGGCTCAACAGGGCCATTTGGCCAGAGGAGACTACAGATCCCAGCATGCAACCTTGCCCTCTTTTTAGAACTCTGCTGGCGCATGAGGGATTGCGGTGTGCAGGCTGCCCAGAGCACTGCATGCTGGGACACGTAGTTTCCACAGCCACACCTCAGGCTTATAGATAAGGATGGCTGCAATCATTTCTTGGATATGAAAATGAGGGATGGTGCTGCCAGCCTGGCGGGACGCCAGGGAAAGCCTGGCTGACGTGGCATGGGCGCTGCCCTGGCTGTGGCTGACTGACAGCATGCAGACGGGTGGGCAGCCCTACCAGGAAGCTTTGCTACCACGGGGCCTCAGCCAGTGGGAACCTGTGCCTGATGTCGTGTCCTGAGGCTCAGCTGCTGGGGCTTCCAGGGTCAGCTCAGAGCTCGGGGCTGCCACCCACGTAGAGAACACAAGCCAGCTCAGTGGTGGAGTGGGGTGCCAGGTGAGCCCTGCCCTGCCTGTCCTGAGTGGCAGCCCCCCGCCCCAGACCCCTGCTTCGGGCAGTAGTGGAGGGTGCTGTGCTCCGGCTTCTACCCTTTCTGGCCTGGCTGACAACACGGCTGCCCCCTACCTCCACATTGGACCTGGGTGGAAACTCTGACCAAGGCCAGGATGCTAAGAGGGCTGGGGAGGTGAACAGAGGAAGGGAAGATGGGGAAGGGTCAGAGCGGAGCGCAAGTGCCCTTCCATGCCGTGGGCCCAGCCCCAAGTGCTCAGAGAGGGAGGACAGCTGCCACTCAGGCGGTGTGTGTTCACATCCAATTTATTACTTTTATTGAGAACAGGAAGCCGCACGCATCATGATACAGAGTCACCGTTCTCGCCGCAAGGAGCCACCACCATCCATTGAGGAAGGTCCCTTCCACCCCGAGAGCTCAGGTCACTGTGCGGGAGGGTGGGGACCCAGAGAAGGGTCTAGCCCGTTTGCCTCCACCCCGCTGTGACTTGGCTTGCCCTGCAGAGATTCAGTTGCAGGCAGGAGCCACAGAGACCAACAGTGAGGCCCGGAGGGAGACGTAGCTCTCCTTGCCGGGTGAGGCCCACCCCAGCCAGCCCACCCTGGCCAGCCCACCCCGGCTGGTCCTCGCAGCGTCGCCACTGGCCTCTACAGAACCATGGCCACTGCCTCCACCATCACCCCCCACCCCCCACCCCAGCTGCTTGCTCTAGGAACAGGCAGTGAGGTCTGAGCAGCAGCAGCAGCTTTGGCTAGAAGGACATGGCCCGGGGACTGGGTCCCAGAGAGGCTGGGGATGGCCAGGGCTCCTGCAAGGCGAGGAGCAGCGCCTCCTCAGCGGCCCTGGCTAGCACCTACTCCTGAGACACCCGGGGGACACAGGACTCCCGGCTCATCGAGGGACTCACTTCTCCTGGAACTGGAGGAATCCGGGTTTGACCTGGGGCTTGGCGTTCTCTAGAGAAGTCGTTGCCAAGGGCGAAGTGGGCAGGTGAGGCACTGATGCTGGAATCTGAGGCATCTGGGGTATGGTGGAAGCCAGCTGCTTCCAGGCGAGCAGGGTGGGGGTGGAGGGCACGGCAGCCAGGCTGGGAGTGGGCCCCTCGAGAGAGGAAGCCGTGGCCGTGGTGACGGGTGGCGCTGGAGGGGACGCGGGGGCCAAGGAGGGTTTGGTCTCAGCAGCTGAGGCCGGGAAGGCAGCCTCTGGGTTTCCTTTCACTGCTCCTCCCTCCGTCCGGAAGTGGAAGCTGTGAGAGGCAGAAGAGGGGGGTCTCAGGTGAGAGGTGGAGAGATCCCTTCCCCGTGCACCTGCCGGCCTGCGGGCAATCCCATCTCAAGCCGAGGGGGCCAGTGTCCCCACCTTGTCTTCGGTGCCATGTGCCACCAGGAGGGAAGGACTGAGAGCACATGGCTCTGTCCTTTGATCTGCAACTTAGGCTCCTGGCTCTGTCCTAATGACACCTCCGTGTGACCTTCTAGATGCGCTGTCCCTAGCTCCTCCCTACTAGGGACACAGCAGGTCCCGGCTCAGGAAGCCCATCCTTCAAGAACCTGCTCTGAGATTTAAAGATGGGTCTCAGGCCAGGAGCTGGAGCTGCCTAAACACTGAAAAGAGCCTGACCTGGGGCTTAAAGAGCAGTGAAGATCTGTTCTAAATGTTTACAAGTTCTGGGTTCAATTACAGCAGGCAGTTGGGCTTGCTGCTTTTCAGCTCAATGAACTTTACAAATTAATTTCTTTTATTTTTAGGTCAAAAAGAATCTACAAATGCAGTACTGTGGCTTGGAAAGGCCTTCACCTGGCGTCCCTGCTGCGGTCAGAGCTGGGTCTGCAGGAGGGCTGAGGGCTACATGGGGGAGGGTCTGGGGGCAGAAGGGGCTCCTGCTTCAGGTGGGGCCTGGGTGGGCTGAGGGGGCCTCGCTGGGGGCTGAGCTAGTGGGAAGATGGGAAAGTCTGCCTTTGGCCTGGCAGCCAAAGAAGCCTGAGAAGCCAGCTCAGCTTCTGAGGTCTCAGGGGTCCTGCTTGGAAGGCAGTTAGAGGCCTATGCAGCCCCCAGCCCTGAGCCAGGCTGGGATGAGCAGGGCTTGGTTTACGCGGGTCCCCGACCCCCACTCACTTGGCGTGCTTGATGGCCCCGTCCAGGGTGCTGAAAAGCGCGCCGCACTCCTCCACCACGCAGTGGAAGTGGGCCTTGTGGAGGAAGTCACACTGGGCGTTGCAGAAGTCCTTGGTGCCAAACCTGGCAGAGGAGCCGGCCGCTTAGAGGAGACCCTGGGGCTCTGGCCAGGCCAGGGTGGGTGGTGGGGCTGGCCCCTAGCCCCCGGAACCCGTGGGCTTGGCCCTCCCCTCCCCCTTGCTCACCCAGAAGCCCCTCACCTGCGAAGGTACACCTTCCAGGGCTCTGACAGCTTCTCCTGAACCATTGCCTTCACAGCCTTGCCCAGGAACGGTGGGGACTCCCCAGCAGGGCCCCCCTCCATATCCGTCTTGACGTTCAACAGGCTGCCAAGGTTGGGGCTGCCCTGAGACATCTGCCAGGAGGACAGGAGCTTCAGGCTGGGGACTTCAGGACACTTAGCCCGACTGCCCTGGGACCAGCGGCAGCTCTGGACCGCTTGGATCTCTCCAAACTGACCAGAGCATCACGGTGCTGGCAGCTGGGAGGAGAGGAGGCCTGATCCCACGCAGCTTTGGCTGCACAGGAGCCCACAGTGAACGGATGCTGCCGCAGGCAGCCTGCTGTGCCTCCTCAGCCCCGCAAAGCTGCCAGGGCTCCGCCACACAAACCCCGTGCTGCTAGGAGCCATCACTCAATCTGCAGCCGAGACTCAGGGCACACACTCCAGCCCAGCTTTCCCCAGACTTCGCGGCTCCCTGGTTATTTTCCTGCCAGGTTTTCAAAAGAAGTGCAGGAGGAGGAGGGATGGGGGGAACCCCCACGAATTCCTTGAGAACAAGAGAAGGCACACAAAGGAGGAGCCGAGAGGGAGGGAGGGCAGCTCACGGGGTGAGAGCAAGACAGGCGGACTGCCGCTGGGGGCGGAGGGGGGCGGGGAGCCCGTGGAAAGGCTTGACCCACACGGGTGGGGTGCAGGGCTCCGACAGGAAGGAACAAGGGGGTGCAGGGAGCAGTGACCCCAGGATGGAAAAGGGGGGCAAGAGAGCAACCAGAGGAGGGGAAAAGGTGGAAGGCATGGGCGCCCTGGAGCCGAGGCCAGTAGGAGCCCAAGGGCCCAGCGGGACCCCCACCCAGTGAGGTCCAGCCCAGACCTATCTCTCTCCTCAGCAGTCACTTGTGTACAGTAACCAAATTAATCTTGCCGTAGTCAAATTTATCATGTGAAGGGGGGAAAATATATTTGAGATGATGTATAATTTACAAAGACCCTGCATTATTTAAAATAAATATTCTGGAGCGACCTCTGCAGAAGGCGTCCAAGACCATTACTCAACCCGAAAAGTGGAAATTGATGCTTTGCTCCCACTTTAACCCCCCCAACATTTTTAAACAAACAAAAAATATATAAAATAAATAAAATTAATAACTAAGAGCAAAAGAAGTTAGAGGGCTCTGGAAAAGCTTTAGGAACCCTCCATCTGAAGGAAAAAAAAAAAGGGTGTCAGAGGCTGGAATATATTTCTTCAGCCAGTTCATTAAATTAATTTGTAAGCAGTGGCTCTGAAATTATATCCGATGAAAAATGGCCTCAAAATTTAAATGGTACAAACTCATCTTATTAGAGGCAAAACATTAAAAAACAAACACATCCCCCCCACCCCCCAGCATAGCTTTAATTTCTCTGGGTGGGGGAATGGGAGGCGTGTGATGGATGGTTCTTACCTTATTCATAAGCGAGGATAAAAGAGATGAATTTGCCGGGACTGCGTGGCCATTTGATTCATTACTGGAACACACAAACCAAGGGGCTTTAGCTCAGGCGTTCGTGGGACGGAGATCGGAGACTCACCCCTCCCAACCGGCCCATGGGGCACCGGCCCCGCCCAGCTACATTTCCCAGGGCAGGTGGATGACCCCTGGTCCGGAGAGGTGGGCCCCCGGCCCCGCGGGATCTGGCTGAGGGTGCTGTCCCCGGAGCCTCCTGCAGGGGGCAGAGCTGGGAGGCCTGGGTCTCCCCTCACCTGGGCTCCTTCAGAGTCAGGTCTAAACTGCGGTCCTGGGAGGCCTCGTGGGGACCTGGGGCGCCAGCACTCTCACCGGGCTCCTGCTTCACCGGGGCTGGGGGGAACCTGGCAGGGGTGGCCTGCTGCCCGTTTCCTACAGGGGAGGGGAGGGAAGACGGTGTTAGAGGGACCGAGGGCTTCATAGGGGCACCAGCCGGAACCCTCAGAGGAGAAGGCGGCGGGCCGGGTGGGCTGGGGCCCTCGGGGAGCCTGGACTGCTGGTCAGTGGTTCTTCCCACTGACATGATCGCTTGTGACGCTTCCCCCTGTGTGGCAATTCTTCAAGTGATAATTATTGCAAAATTATGTCAAAGTTGTCCTGGCTCAGGGCCTCCTGGAGGAGAAGGGTGGGAGGCTGGGGAGGGGGCTGGGACGGGGGTGGGGGCCCTTCATTTTCTCCACCGACTGTCACAGTCAATTTGTGGGGCTGCCGCTTAGGCTTTTATTAAAGACTCTGTTAATGCTGAGGGAAAGTGGCAGATCTAGACTGGGAGCTGCGCCCCCTCCGCGGGTCCCGTCCCCACTGTTGCCGGGGCGACGGCCCTGCCTTCCACTGAGCATGCCCAGGAGGGGCATCTGCTGTGTCAGGGCTATGGAAGCTGACAGCCAATCAGAGCGGTTCAAACTATGTGACCTCGCCCGTCAAGCTGTCCAGGGCAGGGATATGAGGCCCACCCTGGCCAGGCTGGGCTGGATGGGGTGGGTGGGGGGAGCCGGCGGGGTGTGGGCATGGGTGCAAAGGCTGGAGCTGGGTGGGCAGAAGACTCAGGAGGCCAAGCAGAACAGGGCCAAAGAAGTTGCTGACAGGAACATGTCCACCAAGCCTTTCCCCACAATCCCCAAGTGACTGAAATATTAATCTGCCCCAAGGCGCTGCAGCTGACAGAGAGCTGCTTCACAGACAGCAAGTGTCATTTTATTAAAAAATAAAGGAAAATGGCCCCCTCCCCTTCACTTGACCTTTCTTTTCGGGGAAGGAGCTTTTTCTTAAGAAAACAAAGTACTTGACAGCCTGGCCACCAAGCCCCGTGTGGCCCCAGCCTGCAGGCACCTGACCAGAGGTGCATGGCCCTGGGCAGTCTGGCCTGACCCTCCGACACGTGGAGCAGAGGGTGGGTATTGGCTGACAGGAGTGTCCCAGTGGGAAGACGCTAGTTTTCAGAACTCAGAGTCCACATTCCAGGAGACAAAGCCACTAGCGCAGGGTCCCCAGGGAAACAGGGCCCTGACCCTCCATCCAGCTCAAGCTCGGGGGCATCACAGGGACCCTCAGTCTTGGTGAGTCTCGAGACATTCTCAGGAGCCAGACTACTGAGGGCCAACTTGGCCCACCTCCCAGGGGGTGTATTTGGAAACAGTATATCCCTCCACTCTTCCATCAGCTCCACAAGGCAAGGACTTTGTCTGTTGTCTTCCCCGCCATGTCCCCAGCCCCTGGTCTGGCGCCTGGCTCTGCAACAAGCTGCCCTCAGTGAGCATCAGTGGTTGATGAATGAATGAATGAAGTGAGCCCCGCCCCAGACAAAAGCAGAACTCTTCTTAAAGATCTTACTAATGCTAATTACCTGGATGGGGGAAAACAGACAAAGCGGAGCAAGGGAAACAAAAAAGCCAAAAAAAAAAAAAAAATTCAGAGAAAAAAAAAAGAACATTTTTTTAAGGAGTAGAAAACTTGAGAGAAAGGGGAATCACTCTCCATGATGAGTCAGAGGAAAGACAGAGACATGACCCCAGCAACTCTGACACAGCTGCCACTGACCAGATGTGGCTCAACTGAAAGAAACCCCAATCTAGGTCTCGGCCCCACTAGCCAATTTCAAGCACTCAACAGTCATATGACAAGGGGCTACCATATTGGACAGTGCAGAATGGAACGTCTCCACTATCACAGAACTTGCGACTGTATACGGCTGATGGATAGCGAGAGCCTGGGGAAGGTATCCTTGGTCTCAAGGGGCTGTCCAGGCCTGAATCCCCTGAGAATCCTTGCAGTGCGGCCACCCTGGCCCTGTGCTGAAGTCGTGTCCCCTCCTGTCACCTGGAGGAGGTCCCAGGGAAGCCTGGGGCTCAGGGTCAGCTCCCACTGGGGCTGGACTTGTACATGGCAGGGCAGGGGGAGCTCGCAGAGGCCCTGAGGACACACAGATACCCTGTGAGGCCAGGATTACTACTCCTACTTCACAGATGAAAAGACAGAAACAGGAGTTGCCTGGGATGGGCAGGCCAGAGAGAGGGGCCCCAAACAGGAAATAAAGAGGATGGAGGCAAAGACCAGGAAAGAGGGGTACAGGGGTCTTAGGGCCAGGGATAGAAAGCCACCCTTGCCGAACACCCCCACTCTTCTCTGCGCGGGGGCCAGGGAGCTCCTGGGGTTGGAGAGGAACGGGCTTCCCAGGCAGGGCCCAGCCTGCTCACCTGGGTCAAAGGGGGAAGAGGGCTTGAGAGCGGCCGCGGCCAGCCTGGCCATCATGGGCGAGATGAGGCCTTTGCTGGCTGAGATCCTCTCCATGATGGAGGCAGGGGGCATGGGGACCGAGGCAGCCCCCGCCGCCGCCGAGTCACCGGCTCCTGAGGCCGCCAGGGCAGGTGTGTCAGGGGTTGCTGAGCCTGCTGTCCCAGACGACATGGCACCCATGAGGCCAGGAGCACCCACCGGCAGGGAGGCACTGCCCCGGCCAGGAAGGATGGGGAAGTAGGGTGCGGCGCTGGGCAGGCCAGAGTTGGAGAGAGCCAGTGCCAGGGGGATGGAGCCGGGCAGGCCCTGGGCCAGCAGCCCCGAGATCTTGCTGTTGGGAGGCTTGGTGGCGCTGGGCACGGCCTCAGAGGTGGCAGTGGCCGCGGCCAGGGAGGCGGAGGACTGCTGGCTGGTGGGGGAGGCGCTCAGGCTGGAGTTCTTGCTGCTCAGGGCCGAGAAGTCGACCAGGTCGTCGTTGCTGGACTCCTCATGCTCCGTGTCCTTGGCGCCCAGCAGCGAGGGCGGCAGCCCCAGCACGCCGGAGCCCGAGGCGCGTATGTGCCTGCGCTCGTGCTTGCGCTTGTGTGAGGTCATCTGGCTGGTGGAGGTGAAGGTGAAGCCGCAGCCGGCGCGGATGCAGTGGAAGTGGTTGGTGGCCTTGCTGTACACGCAGCCCTCGTATTTGCACTCCTCGTACTTGTAGAACTTCTTGAAGCCGTCCTTGGCGTAGGCGTCGTCCTTGATGTGGTAGCTTTTGTGCTTCTCGATGTCACACTTGTTCTTGAAGGTGAACGTGCAGCCGGGGCGCCTGGGGGTGGAGGGGGGGACGTTGGGAGGCTGTCATGGAGCCTTATGAGGTCAGGAGGACTCCCTGCCCTGCTCCCACAGTGGCCCCGGGAGGGATGGGCCTCGGGGTGGAAGACCAGGCTGGACGCTCAGCTGGGGCCTTGGAGCAGCCCTTGGCTGCGGTTCCTACTGCCCTGAGGATGCAGGGCTCCGAGCCACCCAGGGGCCTGGGGCCCTGCCTTCCGGCCCTCCCCAGGCCAAGAGCCTCCCCGGCCGCCTCCGCTCACCTGCAGTGGAAGTGCGTGGTCTTCTGCCCGTAGAACTGACAGTCGGCCGTGCCGCAGTCCTCGGTGGCACGGAAGCGCTGGAAGCCATCGTTGATGAGCTGGGTGTTCTTCTTATGGAAGTTCTCGTGGGTCATCACGTCTGACGTGCTCGTGTACACCTTGTTACAGCCCACCTGCAGGGGCCAGAACGGCAGTCAGGGGAGCCAAGGCCAGGCACCCTGGCGAGCTCAGATTGGCTGTTCCTCCAGGTGCAGATGACCCCGGTGGGGGAGCTTCAGCACCCACCAACATCCAACTGGTGGGACTGCAGTTAATGAAAGATGACCCCTCAGGCCCCCTAGGGCCTGGTCTGTGTGCTGGGCGCAGGCTGTCTTCAGAGAGCCTGGGACACCTCCCCACACAGGCGTGGGAGTCCTGTGCTGCAGGAGATGGCTTTCGGGTCCCCAATCTGTGGCTCTACTTCTGAAGCCCCCCGAGTGAGCAGGGCTGGACCCAGGGGCCTGGCAGTCACCTTTAGCCCAGGGACTTGCTTGGCGGACAGTTCCTGGCACCAGGCCCTCCCTACCCCACCCGAGCTGGGCCAAGGCAGGCAGCGTTGCCATATTGAGTAAAAACCAGTGGAATCCGAACACTCTTGAGGGCTGGGCCGTGCCAGTGTCTGCACCATCTCAGAGCCCGGAGAGTGAGCCCCCCTCTCCTCCTGGCCCAGGTTGTTTCACAGAGGCCATAACAACCCCCTGACAAATATCGGGGGAGGCGCGGCGGCTGCTATTTGCAACCCAAAGTCGCTCCCCCTGGACCTGACACCTTGAAAAAGCCCAGACTCTGCGTGGCATTAAAACAAAGAATTAAACAAAAACCTCCTCAGGAACCATTTGCAATGCTGCTCTTGGTGTTAAAGCCTGAAAAATGTCGGTCTGTATAAACAGCTCGCTGAATTGCACCCGCACCAAGTATGGCCATGGGGAAGGCCCCACCCCGGCCCACCGGGCACTGCCGAAGCCTGAGCCCCGGAGACCCTCTCCTCTGACCGGCCAGCCCCAGGAAAGGAGAAAGGGAGGTGCCCCGGCCTGGGCAGGCCAGCCTCTGGGGGAGGGTGGGGTGGAGGGTGGCGGCGGGCACCTGCATGCAGTGGTAGTGGGTGCTCTTCCCATTGAGGTGGCAGCCGTGGTAGTAGACGCTGCAGTCGTCCAGCGGGCTGAAGCGCATGAAACCGTGCTGCAGGGAGTTGTCCCGCTTCTTGTGCATGTTGTAGTGCCGGATCACGTCCTGCTTGCTCGTGAACCTCTGCCGAGAGAGGGCCTGGTGGGCGGAAAGCCGTGCCTGGCCCCAGGGCCCTCCGGTCCTCCTTACAAAGAGCTCTATTTGGGTCAAGGAAGCCCAGACTGCCCCAAGGCCAGCACCCTGGACTTGGGAGGGAATAATTTTGAAGGTCCCAGAACCACAGACCCTTCCCTGACCTTCTTCATGTCTCTCCATTGTCAGGCCCAGAAGCAGAGAAGATGAATTGGGCCAGGCCTTTCAGTTAAGGCCTCTGACAGGTGACAACTCATTTTGTCTAGTGTCACTGATGGGCCCTGCCAGGCTGGGCTCCCTGGTGAGACAGACGGTCTGCATTCCCCTCTCATTCGCTCGTTATGCACTCACCAGAGGATGAGCTTTGAACATAAGGGTCAGTCTACCTGAACCTCAACATAATCATCTGTAAAATGGGGCAGTAGTACCAGCCTCATGAGGACACTGGAAAGAACTGACTAGACAAGGTACGCAGGCTGTCTAAACAGTCCTTGGTGCATGGGGGACTCAGTGCCTTGGAGCAAGAATAATTATTACTGGGGAGGCAGAGGGCTCCAGACCCCATCAGACACCTGTTGGCAGCAATCTGGGAATGCGGACAGGCTGGGAGTTTTTCTGGCCTCTCTTCCTGCCCAAGTCAAGTTCGGGTGGCCCTAGCAGAACCCTGCAGCCCTGTCCTGCTTCCAGGAGGCTCCTCCACTGCTGTGCCAGCCTGCGGCAGCAGGGTCAGTGCCCACGGGACATACCTGGTAGTTGCACTCGGGGTCGAGGCAGTGGTAGTGCTCGCGGTACTGGTAGGCGCAGTGGATGTGGCCACAGTGCTGACTGCCTGAGAACCTGCAGGGAAGAGGGGGTGGGCTCAGGCCTCTCTGGATGCCAGCTCCAGGGTCCTCAGCCTCTGTGGCTGAGAAGAGTTTGTGCCTGTGCTCCAGAGGACTGCTGCTGGGGTGTGGGGGCCCTGGGTGGAGATCTGGAGGGGCAGAGGTGGCCCCTGTGTCTGTGAAGCAGAGGCTGAGAAGGCCAAGGAGAGTGACGGGGCCGCTGGGAATCCCAAACCCACTGAGCTGCAGACTGAGCCTTATTTGCCCCAAGAGGGAATGCCGGGGTGGGGTTGCGGGGGAGGGGGGGTGTGCACAGAGGCCTGGCACCAACGCTGGGGGGAGAAAGCGGGGCCAAGGCAGAGGCCAGAGCAGGGTCAGGGGAAGAGGCCCAGGATGGGATGGGATGAGGTGGGGAAGGCATGAGCCCCAAGGGGGCCCAGCTGCTGTTTCTGCAGGTGCTGCCCTCCCACTCCCCACCCAGCGCCGGGTCAGGTGCTGGGGACCCCAGTTGGGCCAGCCCAGGGTTCTGTGACTGAGAAGTGTTAAAGGGCTCCCTCTGTCCTGGGTTTTCCCGACACTTGAAACAGTCCAGTGTGATGAATTTTTAAAGCCCAGCATCTGTTTGGCTTCCCGTGGTAGGGAGCATGTTCTTCGGCCAACTCCCCAGCCCGGAGCCCCTGCTAGCTGCCTGGCCACCACCGCCTGCGGTCCAAAGTGCCCTGGGCCTTCTCCGGGGTCCAACACTGCCAGAGTGGGGGATCTCGCAGGCTGAATGATGACCACCCGGGGAGAACACACCGTGATAACCGTGGACAAGGTGGTGGGCTCAGCCTGCCTGCCCCACCATGGAGCGATTGAGGGGAAGCCCCGTGTAATGGGGAGAACCACTTGCGAATAAAGATTTAAGCTGAAGCTGCCAAAAGAGCCATCTGCTGAGGCACTAATAATAATGATAATAATAATAATAAAGAGAGTACAGCAAAGCTGAAAAGACAAGGAGGAACAGGAGGGAGACACAGAGAGGGACGGAGATCAGCAGAAAGACGGCTGCCAGGGCCTGGCCCAGCCAGGTGCTGCCCCGCCAGGCACTGCCCGTCGGGGGCCTGAGCTGGGGGATCTGATGAGGTGAAGTTTCTTCACCTGCCAAGCCCGCTGCCTCAAGGAGGTAAAGGGGGGCAGGCCTGGAGTCAGGTGGTGAGGGTCAGTGTCTAGCTCAGCGTGGTGTGTGAGGGGGTGTTGCACGCTGAGGCCACCTGCCCACACCCCTTCTCATCCCCTTACTGTTCCACAGTGGCTTGCTTTGCCCTCCCTGCCCCCCACCCCAAGGCTCTGGATGAGCTGTGGAGGGGGGGCCCTGTGCTCACCTGTGGCTGGGCCCTGCTAGCAGGCCCTTTCAGGTACCCCAGTGTTGCCTGGGGTACGAGCTGCTTAAGGGCCTGTGGTCTGGACCCCGTGAAGGGGGCGGGGGCTCTGAGATGCAGCAGAGGGCAGTCCCTGGAGGGAGTCTGGGAGCAGGAGTGTGTGGGGGTGGGGAGACAGCAGGCAGCTGATACTAGCGGTCAGATGGGCATGCGGTCCCACGGTCCCCAGCATTCCTGCCCCACCCACCTCTCCAGGAAAGTCTCCTCCCCAGGGGCCTACCTGGCAATATATTTCTGGTAAATGTTTACATCTTCAGTGACAGCTGGTTTATCTGTGGGCAATCCGTTCCTGGTGAGAGACACACAGGGCACAGCTGATGAGTGGATGAGTCGGCCTCCTGCCCCAGGCGTGTCTGGGGGCAGCTCCCTGCCCTGGGGTCCTGACCCTTGTCTCCCTTGCTCTGTAGCATCCTGGGAACTTAAAGTGGGATGGGAAAAGTCCTTTGGCAGAAAACTAGCACAGTTGGGTTCAGTTGGCCCACCTTCGGCAAGGGCTCGGCTGTTTCAAGCTGGCAGGGCTGGAGGGCTTCACCCTGAACATGGGTCTGACCTAGAGTCCAACCCTCAAGAAGCCTGGGAAGCTGGGGCCTGGCCCCTCTTGCACACAGTGGGGTCAGGACACTTCTGGCTGAAGAGGGATACCAGGGACCACTAGGGAAGAAGGGGCAAGAGCAGCACCAAGCGAGTGTGGCTGAGGGGTTGGAAAAGCACCGCCCCCCCCCTCAACCCCCATGCCGAGGGCAGCTCTCTAGATCTGCTCTCAGGTTTCTGGACCCTCCCCCAAGAGGGATGGCTGTGGTGAAAGGTATTCTCAGCCCCACACATGGATCCATCAGTCATTTTACCACTGCCGAGGGCTTTGCGCTGGGTCCGCCCACCCCAGCCTCCTACTGTCTCCTACTGCCATTCACACAGCCCAGGCTCTGAATCCATGAGCCAAGGCCACCAGCTTGGAGCCCTGAACCCCCAACCCAGAGTAGGGCTTTCCCAGTCAACCATAAGCCCGCAGCTGGCCCTCACGGTGGCAGGGAGAAAAAGCCTGTTGTGGGCAGATGGGGTTACAGGACTCTGGCAGGTGGGTCAGCAGATGAGCAAGTGCACAGAAGCACAGGCAGACCTTGGAGATGATGCAGGATCGCTTCCAGACCACCATGATCAAGTGATGGTCATAATGAAGCAAGTCACGTGAATTTTTTTGGTTTCCCAGAGTACAGAAATGGTACGCTTACACCATACTGTAGTCCATTAAGTGTGTAATAGCATTATGTCTGAAAAAACCATTCATGTCTTAGTTAAAAAATGCTTTACTGCTAAAAAATGCTAACCATCAGCTGACAACGCAGGGTTGCCACAAACCTTCAGTGTACAAAAACATGCAACATCTTCGAAGTGAAAACAAGGTTTGCCTGTATGTGGTATGTGAGTGAATGTGTGTGCACACAGCAATATGTGTAGTGTGTGGGCCCATGAACTGGGTGTGAGTGATTATGTAGGCAGTGTGTGTAAGTACATGTGTGAGAATCTGGGTGCACAGTAGATGTGCATAAGGTGCGGCTGCATGTGTCCACAAGTGTGAGCTTCAGAGGAAGAAAGTGGGTCTCTGGGTCACCCCAGCGCTGGACTCAGGGTTGGCAATGAGGGTGACGCGCGCCTTACTTGACAGTGGAGACGGTCCCCGTGGTGATGGAGTCTGTTTTGGAGAAGGTTGACTTCAGGTACTCGGGAGTGTTGAAAGGCAGGGAGGCAGATGGCTCAGGGCCTGGCCCAGGGGCGCTGGGAGCGGTGGGCACGCTGGCGAGGGGTGCAGGAGCCAGGCTGGGGGTGGGCGGAACCTTGGCGGGGCCAGGCTTCTGGATGGCCCGGACATCGTACTTGGAGGGGCGCCCCACCTTGCCTGTCTTAAAGGCGATGGCCCCGCCCATGTCGGGGCTGCCCTCCCCGGGTTTGAAGAGGTGCAGGTACTTGACGTTCTCCAGGTCGTACTTGGACGGCTTCTTGTAGGCGCTCCCGTTCTGGGGCCGCAGGTTCTCACCCGTCTTCAGTTTCTGGATGAAGAAGTCGTACTTGGAGGCGCGGGCCACCAGGCCCTGCATGGGGACGCTGCTGTGCGAGGGCAGGGGCAGGATGGTGGCCTTGGTCTCCAGGTGCGCGGTGCTACTGGGAAGCCGCAGGCCGGGCAGGGGGCCCAGCGCCTCCTTGCCCGCCCGCCCCTCGGCCGTGGTGCCGTGGGCCGGCCAGGACAGCTGCTCGCCGGCCTTGAGCTTGCGGATGTACTCCTCGTACTTGGAGAACCGCGCCCGCTTGCTGAGGGCGTCCTCGGAGGCGGGCAGCGCGGAGGAGGTGGCCGCCTCGGGGGTGGAGCCCGCATGCAGCTTCTCGAAACTGATCTTCCTGGCCAGCTCGTCCCTCGTGTTCTGGTCGTCGTAGCCAAACATGCCAAGGAACTCGGTCATGGTGGAGGCCGCGTAGTCCCGCAGTGAAGAGGCCTCTCCTATGGGAGAGGAGAGGGGCTGTCACCTCTGGGAGGGAGCAGGGTAGCCAAGGGACAGGCTACCCCCAGAGAGGGAGGGGGCCGGCCTGGGGAGGGGGCGGAGCAGGACATGATCTATGGACATTTGGCTCACTTGTTAGGTTTTACGACTCTTAAATTAATTTGTTTAAAAAAAAAGTAATTAATACTGGGGTAAAATAAAACGAGTTCATCAATGCCAGGAAAATCAATTTCCTAAATGTTCTGGCCGATGGCTTTTCAGTACATTAAACAAAGTTTCATAAATGTCTCCGCTCTCTCGCCTTGGCCTAATATGAAAGAGAAGTCATTTTACTGGAAGTAAGGCCAGATCTCAACCTGCCTCCGGAGTGGGGGTGGGAATGGGGGCTGGGGACAGGTAGGGCTGTGAGCCAGTGGCTGGGCAGTCAGGAGGACCCCTGGGGACCGGTCAGGGGTGGGGCTGGCAGAGCTGGCCTGGAGGGCCCTCCCTCCCCCCACAAATGGACACACAGACCCCTGATCCCCGGGAGGAGGAGGAGGAGGGGCTTGCCCCAAGCCTCCTCAGGACCTGTCCTCTTGGCCCGTCCTGGGCCCCCCACCCCCGTTGCTAACGGTCCCAGACAACAGGGCCGAGGGGGCAGAGAGCCCGCTGATGTGTTGCTCAGACTCCTTCAGGGCCCCACCCCAGCCAAGACTTATGACACAGGGAAGCCTACAAACCTCCCTGCCACCCTCTGGTCAATCGTGTTCAAGCACAAGGGTGGGCCACCCCGAGGAGAGTCAGGGCTGGAGACACAGCGGCTGACGGTCCACATCTCCCACTCCAGTGTCCACAGCAGGGCACACAGGCGGTCCCCCGCAGCCACCTCCCCGTGGGGCCGTGCATGCACACACACTCTCACAAGCTCACGTCCCAGTGACCTTCCCAGACACACATACAACCGTACCCAGACCACCTCAAACTCCACATCCAGCTTCCCAAGACCGTTCCATTTGGCCTGGGGCTGTTCCCTGGAGACGAACCCTCTTCCACACACAATGTGCCACCATTGCAAGCCTGTGGGACCCCCCCCCCCCCAGGATGTGCCTTCCCGTGCAGACACTTGCTAACACCCACCACCTGCTATAATACCCCGCCCCAAGTCAGGGGTGGGGACACTCAGGTGGGTGAGACTCGTCAGGCCCCAGAGGACATGTGTGTTCTCTCTACTCCTGTCTGAGCCTGCACACTCGGGCCCACAGAGCATCAGGACCCCAGGCTGGGGGTCCTAACAGCATGGCCAGGGAAAGGTGTGGCCAGCACCCAGCAGCGGGCTCTTCTCCTGCCCCCCAACCCCACCCGGAGGTGGTCTGAGAGCTGGGCTGGGTTCCGGCACAAGAGAAAACCTAGAAGCATGTAGACAGAGCCTCTGCGCTCCTGGGAGGAAGTAGGGAGGGCAGTTCTGTGGGGCCCACCGGGTGAGGAGAGAACAGTCATAGACAGCACCCGGCCCCCAGGGTGGGCAGAGTGACTCCAGGAACTGACAGATGGCTATCCCCCGGGCCGGCTGGCTGGTGGGCTGCCGTCCTGACCTCAAGCCACTTGGGGTGGGGGACCCAGCCTGGGAGGGGTGGGCTCTGGATGCTAGATTCAGTGGCTCAGGGACCAGGGAAAAGGGCTAAAAATAGCTGGAGGCAGCTGAGCCCTCGCTATATATGGCAGAGAATCAGAAGGCTTTGAAGGGCAGACGGCTTACAGCAGGGAGGGGGCCAGGCAGGGGTCCTGGGGGCAGCCCAGAGGCCTGCATTCCCAAGGCCACGGTGGGCAGCTTGGGCTCTGGCTGCCCAGCTCCAGGGTCCAGGCTGAGCAGGCTTCCTGGAATCATGCTGCTGCCATCCCGCTGCTATCCCATACCCGAGGGGGCGAGGCCTGGAGCCATGAGGTCACCGGGCAGTTTCTAGCCCTGCCTCCTGCCGGGCCGGCTCGCCACTCCCCCAGGAGGAACTGGGGCGCTGAAGGGACAGTGACCCTGGTCCCTGTCCCTCCCCACTCCTCAGGCCCAGCGCAGTCACCTTGTGTCTGTGAACGGCAAGGGCTTTTCCTATCAGAGGAAACTGAAGGTCACACTTTTCCTCATTGATCTTGCAATGTTTGTTAATTACTCTGTCACTGATGTGGCGAAGGATAATTAAACAGCTCTGTTTATATCTTATATGCATAATTATGTGGCTGCGCAGGGCTCCCCGCGCAGGGAGGAGATGCGCCCCTTGCTGCAGGGGAAGGGGAGGCTCGGGACGCTAGGCGCTCGCTGCAAGGAGGCTGGGGAGCTGAGGAGAGCCCAGGCCCCAAGTTCCAGCCCTGGACGTGCCCCCTCCTAACCAGAAATGAGGTTCTCCCTCCGCACAGAAGGAGGAACTCAGGGCTGCCCTGCATCTAAGGATACGTGGATCCCCGAAGAGCCAGGACTTAGCCATCTCGTGGGAGAGAGGTCAGCCAGGGGATCGCGTCCGGGGCAGGTGGGTGCAATGGGATCTGCTGGCTGGCTGTCTCTCCTGCATATCCAGGTACGACGCCCCCCAACAGGCTCCTTCCCAAGCAGGTACTTATGGCAAGCCATCCACCCACACACTATCCATCCATCCATCCATCTGCCTGTTCACCCATTCATTTGTCTTCCTGAAGACCCACTGTGTGTCTGGCAGCCCATCGCAGCCCTGCTCACATGTCTGGAAAGCTGCTTTCTCAGGCCCTTCCCTTCTCACCCCTGCCACACCACCCCCCACCCCAACCCCTGCCCAACTCATCTCCCCCTGCCCAACCTCCCCGAGGTTGTGATCTCGGCCCTAGCCGTGACCCCGTCAGGAGTCCTCCGTGGGCCCGAAAGAGGGGTCACTACTTGGAGCAAGAGTGAAGGAAGAGGGTGTGCTCTGTAGACACACCACTCCTCCTCCTTGTGGGGTTCTGTCCCGTCCAGGGCTTAGATACCCACCTGAAGCCTGCTTGGCACTGGGACCACCGTCATCCTTGGAGGCTGCCCCATCCGAGTCCTTCTCCTCCAGGACGCTGCCGTCCTTGGGGGGCTCTTCGCCGTGGTCCTCTTCATCGCTGCAGCCCTGGGGCTGGACCATGTAGACACCCTCAGGTGGCAGCTCCAGGCCCTCCCGGGCGATCCGCCCCAGAACGGGCGTGGGCACTGGCTCCTCGCTGTACTCCCCATTGACCCACTTCTCAATCACCGCCCGCCTCTTGTCTTCTTCGCTGCGGGGGGCCCGGGCCACCCCGGACTCGGGGCCACTGCGCTCTTTGTCCCGGGGCCGCAGTGGGCTGCCCTCGGCGTGGGCGCCAGCCTCCCCGCCCTTCTCCACCACCACCTGGCGGCTCAGCTTGGCGCAGATGGCATTGAGCTTCAGGCCGCCTTTGCGCTTGGCTGCCATCGCGGGCTTGCCTGCGGGCGGGTCAGTGCACCGGGTGCCTTCAGCTGTGGGGATGGAAGAGAGGGGTCAGAGGCACTGCCACCCACCTCAACAGCCCCACGTCCCCCAAGACAGAGGTCTCCCCAGTCGCATTCCACCCCACTGCCCTGAGACCAGGGCACGTCTCTCCCCTCACTAGACTGTGGGTCAGAGCGTGGACCTGGCATGGACTACGTGGTTCAGAAATATCTTGTAAATGAACGAATGAGTGAACGAATGACTTCACGCACAGGAGCGGTCTTCTCAGCCCTGGCTCCTGGAAGCACTTCCTCCCCATGTCTGGCCCTGGGAGCCAGGCCAGCTGTGCCTCAGGATGTCACTCTGCCTCGGCCAACTCCTGCAGCCCTGGGGCCTGGCTGGCCCCGGGAAGCCCACTTTCCAGACCTGAGGAGCGGGAGTAGATTGGGATTCTTCAGATCCCCAGCGGAATGCCCAGAGGCTGCCATTCTAGTGCCTCCTCCCTGAGCATGACAGCGTGATGCAGATGGCCTGGAGCTGTAAGTAGGCTACCCGGGCACTGGCCACCTCCCTCCCGGCCACTGAGCAGGCGCCCAGGGCTTGGGGGCGGGGGGGGAATGGCAAGATGACCCCCAAACAGCTGGGACCTGCCACAAATGCCAAGCAAAGCTGACACACCTACACTGGTTTATTTGTATATTGGTCCATCTGTCTGTCCACCCATCCATTCAGTGAGCTCCTACACGGCAGTGCCAGGGGTGGGGCAGTGGCCACGGCAGACACAGTCATGGCTCACATTCCCTTGAGCACAGGGGCCCCATCGAAGCCTGTAGATGGCAGGGCTCCCAGGGGGTGGGCATGGCCGTGTCTCCACACAGCTCAAAAGGCTAAGCCTGGGGAGGGACTCTGCTCCCAGGTCCACAGTCAGAAGGGCTTCACTATAATGGATCAAGAGACTAAAATGCCTGGAGCCCCCTGAGAAGCTGACTCAAACAGAGATGGGCACGCTTGGGCCAGGACCTCATCTGTAGGCAGACTTGGCTTGTGCACACAGATGGTCGCCCCCCGATATAGACAATGCCCAGCAGTCCCAGGTCCTTGTCTTGAAGCCACCCGCCCAGTTCTCCCAGTCCTGCAGCCCTGGCTCTTCCGGTCCCCACCCTCGTCCTAGCCGGATGCCCACTCTACCCATGTTTGTCCACGTCTCCAAGTCTGCACTGCCCACACCCAAGTCTCTAAGCACCATCGTGGGCTCTTTCTCAAGGCTCATTGATGGGGCCACTCATCACACCATCCCACTGACCTCCAGGCCAGCCACCAGGCTCTGTGACACCAGGCTTCCTCAAGCAGACCTATGGGGGGCAGGCCGCACCTGGGCCCCTCTGCCCCTGGCCCTGGTAGAGAAGGAGGGTGGGAGTGGGGGATCCTGCTCTATTTTTACCAGGAGGTAAGCAGCCAAGTGTGTATGGCAGACGGCAAATGAATCTATAAATATTTATCCCAAGGAAGAGGGAAGCAGAAGCTCCCAGGGCTGCACTTGCTGCTGGTGACACCCCGTCCCTGGGCCCCCACCCATCCTGGAGCCTCCTGGCACTCGGGCCCACCCAGCCCTGCCCACCCTCTCCTGATGCCGGCCGTGTGCCTGGCTCAGTCCCTTGCGGGCCCCCACCAGCTGTGCTGCAGCTGTGTGCCGGGGGCCCACCCCCCGCCCGCAGGCCCCTTGGCTCCGCCCACGCCCCCAACACCTGCCCTCCAGCTGCTGCTCTGCCCCAGCCCACCTGCCTTCCAGATGCTGCCCTCCCTCTGACTCCCGCTGCTCCTAGGGGTGGAGGTGGGGAAGGCATGTGGGCCTGGGGTGCAGGGCAGGAGGCAAAAGCAGGCCTTCCTCGTAAGTGCACACGTGTGAGAGTCGGGCTGTGAGTAGAGGGGTGTGTGTGTGTGTGTGTGTGTGTGTGTAAGAGCTGAGGTTCAAGATGCCTGCCCGCCCGCCTTCCGGCCCACCCCGTGGGGCCCTCTCCTCTCCCCCTCCTTCAGGACCCTGGGACCTGCAGACTACCCCCCTAGTGGTCTGACCTCAGGCTCCTGTCCATGTAAACATTCCCCTGACTTTCTTCCCTAAAATATAAACGCCGTGGCCGGGCCTCAATGGGAGGAAGCCATCCGTCCCCGGCCCTGTCACTGCCCCTTTCATCTCCTTCCCGCCACCAGCCTGCCCGCTGCTCTATTTACACTGGAAACTTCCTCTGGGAACAATACTGCCCAGGAGGCCGGCTTGGGCTGGAGGGTGGGAAGGCGTGGGGACTCCCGTACTGCTAACCCAAGGCCCGGCTCCAGAGAGGAGGCGAGGGGCAGGGCAGCTGCAGTGGACCCAGCTGGGCCCCGGGGAAAGGAGCAGGCTGGTATCTGCCTGTGGGCAGCCAGCCCAGGGCGTCTCCCAGCCTGCAACCTCTGGCCCCAGGGACGCTGGATGGGCCAGGGTGAGCCCTGGGAGGCAGCACTGCACCATGGTGTGGCCTGGCCTCTGGGGCAGACAGTCGTGAGTTCAGGCCCTGGCTCTGTCCCTCCTAAGCTCTGGGTTCTGAGTGGGCTTTATCCCCGTGAAAGGGTTGCAGGACTAAGGTGACAGGGTGCCTGTCTGTGCCAAGCACAAGTCCTGACAGTCAAGCATCTGGGAAAAGGCAGCTGAGCTCTGGGAGGGGACAAACAGGCAAGTGTGGTGCACTTCTGAGCACGAGATTCCTAGACCAGGAAACCACACCTGGGCCAGAAGAGGCTGCTGGTAGCGGGGACAGGAGAGGCTGGAGGGCCAGGCTGTGGGCAACAAATGGCCCCTCCCCGGGGCCCAGAGTCTGAGTCTCCCCTCCAGGGGCTCCAAACTCAACAAGCCCCCTGCAGGCAGCTCTGTCTCCAAGCTGAGGAGTCCTGCTCAGGGAGGAGAAAGGGAGGGGCAAGAACTGGCCCGTCCTCGCACCTGTTGGGTGCTAGTTCATGGAGTGTCACCACGACCCCGTGAGGCAGGTACTGCTGTCATCCCATTTGACAGAGGAGGAAGCTGACCCTGGAGCCATGAAGACACTCCAGAGCCCGAGCGCACGAAGGCCGGGGTACAGCAAGGTGCGGGGCTGCCACCATGTCCCCGTGGCAGCTCCGGAGGCTCCAGGAAATCCCAGGCCACCCCAAGAGGGCTTCTCTCTACTCCTGCCCATCTCCTCCTCACCCCCGCTCCCAGTTCCCATAACACGGAGCCCCCTAAAGTGTTAACTGTGATGGGTAAAATGGTGCAGCAGATTGCTACAATAAATAATTTACTGATATTTATAAATATGCAAATCAGCCAGCTTCAGAAATCGAATGAAGGGAGGGCCTCAGGAGAAGGGCCCGTTATGGCAGGAACCGCATCACTCCCTCCACAGGCTGGGGAAGGCCAGGGCTCCTGCCAGCTCTGGGGGAGGGAGGGGGCTCCTCTAGCTGCACCTGGGCCCTTCATCCCTGATCCCTGGGGACTGAGGGGGCGGGGGGGATTGATTCCACCTCCTCGCCCGGTCAGGGCCAGGTCCTTCCTAGCCCTGGGTAGCCTGGGCTCAAGGGGACCAGAGGCTCCAGTGCCCGATGCCCATGACTGGGTCTCAGAGTCACCCGTCTGCCTGGGGTGGGGTGGGGTGGGGGCTAGTCCCCAGGGGATGGCAGGCCTGGCAGCCCCTCCCTACCGGTGAGTAATGTGTTTTGGGGCCGGGCAGACTGTCAGCTACCAGGCTCCGGGTGCTTTATGGGCTCTGCCTGGTGGCTCTGAACTCCCTGGTAGGAAATAAAGTTCTCCCTGCGCGTCCCTTCTAAACATTTCACTCAGTGGAAACGGTGTTTAAGAAAAATGAGGACATATTTCTTCCTAAGGATGCAGTGTCCCCTTTGGGCGGCCTAATGCCCGCTGTATATCAAGAAGTGGCAAGGCAGGGGCCAAGCACCCGTCCCCTCCGGTGGGGGTGGTCCAGGGGGCTGGCCTGTCTGCTGCCAGGTGGCTCAGAGGCCACGGGCACTGCTAAGCCACTCTGGTGGCCGCCCTGGCCCGCACAGCATAGAGCAATATGGTAGCTGGCACCCTGAGCACTTCTCCTGCGCTGGGGACAGCACTGGGTAACAACTGAGAGCCTCAGTGACACACCTACCCCCACCCCAGCACGGCCATCGTCCTGTCCGATTCCAGATGAAAAAGCAGAGCCCAGTGAGGCTGTCAACTGTCACGGTCATCCACCATCTGTGCGAGAGTCGGACTCAGACATCTCACCATCTAAGACCCTAGGCGTACCTCCCACAGCATCCCAACCAGGGTGGCAGCAATTTCAGAGCCTCCCTGCCACCCCTAAGGACTTGCACTTGACAGGCCACCAGTCCCAGGGGGGATGAATTCCGAGGACACGACACGAGCAAGCAGACTGCCCTGGTTCCTGCCAGGACGGATGGTTCAATTTAGACCAGGGGGCAGATGCTCTCTCACGTCATTACAAGTGTGATCACTGTGGTGAAAAGTCTCGGTGCCACAGGAGTGGCGAGTCTAGGAGGCAAGGAAGGGTTCCCAGAGATACCTGCCCCGGCTCTGCTCCCCAACAAGCTCCCTTGGGGCCCAACAAGCTCCCTTGGGGCCCCCCCATCCCCCTTCCTCCCTCCTCCCCCCACCATGCAGCTCACCTCCACCTTAACAGTTCCAGCCCCGTCTCCCCAGACATGACCTGTGCCCTAGGAGAACAGGGGTATCCTTCCTTCCCTCTTGGGTCCAATCCTGTGCCTCACTTGGCAGAGAGGAGCAGCCACTGCTCCTCAAGGCCCTCAGCTGGGCCCCCTGGTCCCCAACAGCTCCAGATGGGGAACTGGGGGGGGGTTGCCCAGCTGCTGGGCCCTACGTGTGCCCCTTTGTTTATTTATTTATTATGATTTTTTAGTCCAGTTAAAAGGTTTACTATCCAGACGCGTCTAAGTGGCCTCACTTAGCGTAAGTAACTCTATAAATCAGGGAAACTGTTAGCATCCACCGCACAGGCTGGCCATCAATCTC